TCCACTACGGGCTCACCATAGCCCGTGCTACTTGCCCCGCTCCTGTGCCAGGTAAGTCCACTACGGGCTCACCATAGCCCGTGCTACTTGCCCCGCTCCTGTGCCAGGTAAGTCCACTACGGGCTCACCATAGCCCGTGCTACTTGCCCCGCTCCTGTGCCAGGTAAGTCCACTACGGGCTCGCCATAGCCCGTGCTACTTGCCCCGCTCCTGTGCCAGGTAAGTCCACTACGGGCTCACCATAGCCCGTGCTACTTGCCCCGCTCTTGTGCCAGGTAAGGCCACTACGGGCTCACCATAGTCCATGCTACTTGCCCCGCTCCTGTGCCAGGTAAGTTACGGGCTCACCATAGCCCGTGCTACTTACCCCGCTCCTGTGCCAGGTAAGTTACGGGCTCACCATAGCCCGTGCTACTTGCCCCGCTCCTGTGCCAGGTAAGTTACGGGCTCACCATAGCCCGTGCTGCTTGGAACTTGTTCCGAGTAGCTGAATCTATAACAACAACAACAACAGGGCCGTGACGAGGATTCGAACCTTGTGGATCCTTGTGGACTTGTTCATTGATGCATTACGCTATTGTGATTCCTGTGTATGGATTAAAGTTCAAATTTGTACTTTGTATATATTACAGGCTCACCAGAGCCCTCGTTACATGGAGGGCTCACCAGAGCCCTTGTTACATGGAGGGCTCACCAGAGCCCTCGTTACATGGAGGGCTCACCAGAGCCCTCGTTACATGGAGGGCTCACCAGAGCCCTTGTTACATGGAGGGTTCACCAGAGCCCTCGTTACATGGAGGGCTCACCAGAGCCCTCGTTACATGGAGGGCTCACCAGAGCCCTCGTTACATGGAGGGCTCACCAGAGCCCTCGTTACATGGAGGGTTCACCAGAGCCCTCGTTACATGTAGGGCTCACCAGAGCCCTCGTTACATGGAGGGCTCACCAGAGCCCTCGTTACATGGAGGGCTCACCAGAGCCCTCGTTACATGGAGGGCTCACCAGAGCCCTCGTTACATGGAGGGCTCGTTCGTTTGACCCCTCCATGTAACGTTTCTGAGTAGTTCGTTCCGAGTAGTCAACTCTCTCTCAATAACTCAGCCCGTCCTCCAAACAAAGATCTAAAAGTGATTCCATGCACCCGCCAAACCCCCTGTTTATGAATGAAAAGCGGTTTACACACGACTCAACTGCTGACGTTCGAACATATTCGGAACAAGTGCTTCACTGACGAATTTTGTTCGAATCACAACGCTATAAATGCTTCACCCACGTACTACAAATACAAATAATCGCCAACAGAACCTAAACACCTAACCTAACCTATGCCTATATATACACAATATGCTAATATATTATAATATTAATTTATACTTGAGAAAATTTCCGTTTTGAATGAACACCATGTTAAAATTTATGAATGCGTCTGTGGGGCTGACCGCTGGATGTAATGGACTTGAGTCGAGGACGGGTTGCAATAGCTACCTGGATAGGCTAGTCGGCAGCTGGTGGATGGAGACTGGTTGTTCGTGGTGCTCGTCAGTTCCGCCCTAGTGGCTGTCGGAGGAGAGTGTCTGTGACGGCTGTGGGGGACGTGGTACGCCTGTTGAGTTGCCATGGGGACTTATCGGCCTCCAGTGAAGAGGACATCGTCTGGAGCCAGATTCACGAAGCAGTTATGCAAGCACTTACGAATCTGTACATTTGTTGGAGTGTGGTGGCAACTACCAGACGGGTCGGACGTCCCATTGGTCTTCCTGCTGTTGTTGACATTGGGAGATTGTTGTTTGCCACTGTAGGGTGACTGGCAAACAGTCTCAGTATGGGGGACTTAGCGCCACCACTAAGGAGGAAGGACTCGGCTGGGACGACGTTTTCCCGTCGGGTGGATATTGGCGTCGTCAGCTACACCGTCGGGTGGATATTGGCGGCGTCAGCTACACCGTCGGGTGGATATTGGCGGCGTCACCTACACCGTCGGGTGGATATTGGCGGCGTCACCTACACCGTCGGGTGGATATTGGCGGCGTCAGCTACACCGTCGGGTGGATATTGGCGGCGTCAGCTACACCGTCGGGTGGATATTGGCGTCGTCAGCTATACCGTCGGGTGGATATTGGCGGCGTCAGCTACACCGTCGGGTGGATATTGGCGACGTCAGCTACACCGTCGGGTGGATATTGGCGTCGTCAGCTACACCGTCGGGTGGATATTGGCGTCGTCAGCTACACTCTACAGTTATGGGTGTGAAAGTGGCAGATCTCGTAGGTCTACAGGTCGTTCGTGAGGACAGAGTGGTTGTGAAGTACGCCGAGAGTGGCTTGTTCCGGAGAATTATCCGGAGCCGGTCGGCCGAGCGGACAGCACGCTGGACTTGTGATCCTGTGGGTTCGATCCCAGGCGCCGGCGAGAAACATTGGGCAGAGTTTCTTGCACCCTATGCCCCTGTTACCTAGCAGTAAAATAGGTACCTGGGTGTTAGTCAGCTGTCACGGGCTGCTTCCGGGGGGTGGAGGCCTCGTCAAGAACCGGGCCGCAGGGACACTAAAGCCCCGAAATCATCTCAAGATAACCTCAAGAAGCCAGTATTTCATTACAGAATGTGATTAGCCTTAACTTTGGTTAGATTCTGTTGGGTATTATTGGTTTTTGTAATCCGTGAACGAAGCTCTTGGAGGGGTACGACTCCAGCAGCAATCCGTCCTCGACTCAAGTCCATTCCATCCAGTGGTCGACCCCACAGACGAATTCATAAATTTTTACATGCTGTTAATTCAAAACGGGAATTTTCTCAAATATGAATTATAATATATTAGCATATTGTGCATATATAGGCATAGGATAGGTTAGGTGTTTAGGTTCTGTTGGCGATTATTTGTATTTGTAGTACGTGGGTGAAGCATTTACAGCGTTGTGGTTCGAACACAAGTCGTCAGTGAAGCACTTCTTCCGGAAGTGTTCAGACGAAATCAGTTGAGTCGTGTGTAAACCGTTTTTCATTCATAAACAGCTGGGGGGTTTGGCGGGTGGATGGAATCACTTTTGGATCTTTGTTTGGAGGACGGGCTGTTTCACCCCGTTCTCACGCTAGGCTGTTTAAAGCAGCGGCCGTCCTCCCCAAACGCATTCATCAATTTTAACATACTGTGAATTAAAAATTGGTTTCTCATAAATTAATATTCTTGTACATAAAAATTGTATGTATAGTTTAGCGTAGGTTAGGCGTTTAGGTTCTGTTGGTAATTATTTGTATTTATAAGTTCGTGGGTGAAGCATTTATAGAATTGTGGTTCGAACAGAGGACGTGAGCGAAGCACTTGTTCCGGAAGTGTTCGAACGTCATCAGTTGAGTGGCGTGTAAACCGTTTTTCACTCATAAACGGTGGGTTTGTCGGGTGGATTAAAGAGCTTGGATCTTTGTAAGCGAGAACGGGTTGAGCATTTAGTTGATTCGAACAGAGGTCGCCAGCGAAGCACTTCGAGAAATGTTCGAACGTCAACAGTTGGTAGTCGTATACAGAGTTTTAAATTCATAAACAGGGGATTGGCGGCTGGAATAACGAGCATTTGGCCTTTGTTAATACAGCTCGTCGTCCAAACAAAGACCCAAAAGTGATTCCATCCACCCGCCAACCCCCCCAGCTGTTTATGAGTGAAAAAAGGTTTACACGCGACTCGCAACTAATAACGTCCGAACACTTCCGGAACAAGTGCTTCACTGACGACTTGTGTTCGAACCACAACGCTGTAAATGCTTCACCCACGTACTACAAATAATCGCCAACAGAACCTAAATGCCTAACCTACGCTTAACTATACCTAGAACTTTAATATATAATAATATTAACTTGCATATGAGAACAATATTTTTAACATGGTATGTTAAAATTGATGAATGCATCTTGGGGGGGGGGGTACTATAGTGGCTGCTGCTTTAACGAGCCTAGCCAGTGGCAAAGTTGTACATTAACATCTGTAGACGTATAACGTCAAAGTACAAGCAAACGTTTCCCCCTTCTAGATTTTGTCGACTAAATTTATTTGTCAAGGAAGGGAATTATCAAGAGAAAGTTACAAGCCATTACGACTATATAGTAATTGGAAGGGGTCAGGATAAGGACTTGGGATGGGACGGGGGAAAGGAATGGACACCCAGCTGGACGGTCGGGGATTGAACGCCGACCTGTATGACGCGAGACCGTCAATATACCGTCCAGTTCAAGTGGTTGGGAATATAAGGAGGAGGGACCAGATTCACGAAGCAGTTAGGCAAGCACTTACGAACCTGTACATCTTTTCTCAATCTTTGGCGGCTTTGTTTACAATTATTAAACAGTTAATGAGCTCCGAAGCACCAGGAGGCTGTTTATAACAATAACAACAGTTGATTGGCAAGTTTTCATGCTTGTAAACTGTTTAATAAATGTAACCAAAGCCGTCAAAGATTGAGGAAAGATGTACACGTTCGTAAGTGCTTGCGTAACTGCTTCGTGAATCTGGCCCCTGAACTGTTGTTAGTTACGACTGGTGTTGAGCTCTAGACAATCACCAGCTCGGGGAGTACTACAGTCATATCGCCAGTTTACTGACCAACCAACAGTTATAAAAGTGTTCAAAACTTAAAGTAAACTGAGTGAGTTTACACCGTGAAGCTGGGTACTTCTGTGTGTATATATGTGCATAATGCATATATCTGACATGTGAAATGTGTCAAAATTTCAAAGCAATCGATGAACTTTCGGATATTACAGCGTATGTTTCTCTTACGTCCAACAGATGGCGCTGTTTAAAAAAGTTTTTTTCCTGTCACAGGTGCGTCATGTATATAGTAGGTATATAAAAACACGCGCCTATTCGAATAGCAACGTTGTCAAAATTTCAAAGCGATCAGATGTATTAACACCATTAGGAGGCAGAGGTGGTGGTGACGGAGGGAGACATTACACAATGAGACGGCTCCAGGCCCACACCGGAAGCTCCACGCCTGTCTTATCGCCTCAGACGCCATAGCATAGTTGCAGAACTCCCACGGGCCAGCGAGGACGTCTCCGTCGTCGCCTGCTCTAGTTCTGGACAGTACAAGTTCGTCGTCGTCTGCTGTAGTTCTGGACAGTACAAGTTCGTCGTCGTCTGCTGTAGTTCTGGACAGTACAAGTTCGTCGTCGTCTGCTGTACTTCTGGACAGTACAAGTTCGTCGTCGTCTGCTGTACTTCTGGACAGTACAAGTTCGTCGTCGTCTGCTGTACTTCTGGACAGTACAAGTTCGTCGTCGTCTGCTGTACTTCTGGACAGTACAAGTTCGTCGTCGTCTGCTGTACTTCTGGACAGTACAAGTTCGTCGTCGTCTGCTGTAGTCCTAGACAGTACAAGCTCGTCGTCGCCTGCTATAGTCCTGGACAGTAAAAGTTCGTCGTCTGCTATAGTCCTGGACAGTAAAAGTTCGTCGTCGCCTATTGTAGTCCTGGACTATATATAACGGACACAACTTCTTCAAGTGGATCTTTGTATCGAGTGGTAAGTGTTCCTGCTCCATTGTGTTGTCTTGAAATCCAAACTTCCAAAGAAAGTTTCAGGCGCTTCGACTCGCTGATGTGAAACATTTTGTGAAGTGTTTTGTCTTGTTTTAATGCTATGTGGAATGACTTGTAATTTGGTTGTTAGTGAGTTACTTAAAGGTTATTTGGTTGCCACTTGCAGTATTTATTTTGTGGTGTTTTTGTTATCCTGTGAGGTGTTTGTTTGTGCTTATTATGTACTTGTTTGGTATGTTGGGCATTTCCTGTGTCCTCGTATGTACTTATTTTGTGCTGTGTGTTTGCTGAGGCTCGGGTATATTTGTTTGGTCTCTGATGTTTTTGTTTGGTCTTTGGTGTATTTGTTTGGTGTGTGAACGCTGAGAGAGGGTTCGAGTCCTACAGAGTGCTTCATATCAGCTGCCACTATCAGGTCGCTTTAACCAGATTGTGGCGACCTTTTTGGCTTCCTGTCAGTTGTGAGCGACCGTCTTTCTCATACACACGTGACTCCTTCAAATATAAATATATATATATATATATATATATATATATATATATATATATATATATATATATATATATATATATATATATATATATATATATATATATATATATATATATATAAAATTGTAAAAACCATCTCTTGATTAGGTAATAATGATAAAAAATAAGAATATTGTTCGAAATTCAGTAGATTTTCAATCAAATGGGAATAGGTTGAGGTGTGAATAGGGATGAGCTAGGATAGATATGATCACCACATACATAATACTCAGTGGAGCAGTCAGAACATATGAACACTGTTTATCATGGGGGGGGGTATGAACAAATCAGAATGGTGAACAAATGGATGAATAATGTAATCTAATGGAGCCACATTCTCTACACAGGTCCAAATGTAGATGCAATAGAACCCAGAAATAAAATAATTATTATTAGAGTAAAGATGTAATAAGAACCTACACGAATAATGTTGATGGAATGTTGAATTTATACATAAATTGCTTAAGGGGGTTGAGAGGCGGTAGCCAGGAGCTAAGAGGTCATCTTAGGCTGGTACAATTAGGAGAGTACACCCACCAGGTGGTCGTTATTGGCAGTTAGTGTTGGCTGTTACGACCAGCTGTTGTACTCCGGGTCCACTCGGCCCAGCTGACCTCTGGTGACCTTCACTCTCACTACTCACTCTCACTACTCACTCTCACTCAATACACTCACACTCACACTCAGTACACCCTCACTACACACTCAGCTCTCCCATCTTAGTCATAGCAACTTTTCTCTCAACAAATTGTTTCATAAATGGTTATGAATATATATGAAAATATTCTACATTCCATACATGTTTGTGTGTATTCTACATGTGAATACATGTTTGTGTGTGTATGAGGTTGAGGGGTAAGCAACGATGCATGGGGTAAGCAACACCAAAATGTACATAGTGATTCCTGCCGGGTACGTGCCCAACATGGTAGGGCCCGGGTTGCCACGTAAATTGAGTACAACTTGACATGTTGCCAATGACAACCCCTACTCCGAATCATGGAATATATTAACTGGACCTGTGATTTTTTTTTAGTAGAACATGAATCATTATCACTGGGTTATGGTGCCATGGAATCATGACACTAGCGGAATTGGAGCAGTTGCCACTTATATTCAGAGTAACAGACGGCTGGAACACTCAAACAGCTTCGTTCTGATTGGTTTGGCATCCCCTCAGGTTCGTATGGTAGATATGGACTCAAAGTTCCCTGAAAGAGTTGTACGAAAAACTAAATAGGATTATTAAAGAGTGGATTGACGAAATTTCCTGTTTTAGGGCGTTAACGTTGCTATTCAGAGAGGAAACGCTCCATCCTGCACACGTATCCTGCTACTGAGGGACTCGAGTGAGGTTCAGCACTGATGTTTATACATGCTTCCTCTATGTAACATGTATCCTTGTGGTAGAAATGAGGTACACTTCTGGGTGTATATATATATATGTGTTTGTAAATATGTAAGGTCTAATTAATGACTTAACCACCACCAGTGACCACCACCACCAGTGACCACCACCACCAGTGACCAGTCACCACCAGTGACCACCACCACAGCCATGAGTACTGTGCAAGCGGGGGGTGGATGGTTCGATGCCTTCCGCTGGAAGCCCTTCCCTACCCTGTACAGCGAACTCAAGACCCCAGTGACCGAAGACGTCCTGTACGTGGGTTGGCTTGTAGCCTTCCTCGTAGTGTTCGTCCCCTTCGTAGCCTTCGTCATCCCTACCCTCAGTGGATGGAGCTCGGTGAGTTACGATCATGCCTATCCCTGCTAGTAAGGTCCTGTCTATCCCTGCTGGTAAGGTCCTGTCTATCCCTGCTGGTAAGGTCCTGTCTATCCCTGCTGGTAAGGTCCTGTCTATCCCTGCTGGTAAGGTCCTGTCTATCCCTGCTGGATAAGTCCTTCTTCCGTCTCCTCCTGCTAGGATTCTACTCATTAGTAAGGATAAAGTCCCACCCGTCTCTTGCTTGCTAAGTCCCATCTATTTCCAGTGTGAAAAAGTCCCACCTATAGATCCTTACATGCCCCTGCTTATGACCTATAGGTATTCTCTACCCATCCTTCTAAAGTCCTGCCCGGTCCTAGAATCCTTCGTCCTCATATATATAATATATTCATGTTCTTTTTAACTTAGTGTTGACAATCGTTTCATCCACAGAAATTCTCCGTGTTCGTTCGAGTTACTCTCAGTTTGTCTCTTGGATTGGTGATTATGGGTGAGTATCTCTGTGTGTCTCTGTGTGTCTCTGTGTGTCTCTGTGTGTCTCTGTGTGTCTCTGTGTGTCTCTGTGTGTCTGTCTCCTTTTTACTGATACACAAGGAATCCACAAATTATTCACTCCATTATGCATTATTAAGGCTAGTAATAGGATGAAAATTTGTGAAGACTGTATTTTTCTCTAACTTTTACGCTCACGAACGTTTTCTGAAATCTTCCCCAAATCGCATTTAGACAAGCCTTAAGCTTTCATTGATAGTCATATAGAATGGTATATTGAGTATTTGACCGACCAGGGTATATTTAGAAATTTTTTTAGGGGTACCTTATGTTCAAATTCCTTCTATTAATTGTAATTCAAATTATTTCTATTGTAAATCAAAACTGTATTAGTTTTAATCTTTTTCTATATCCAGCATTCAGAGACAATCTTCTCCTTTTGAAAGTATTCTGACTGCAACATGGGTTAAAAAAAATTCAAGGAGTAGAAACAATTTTTAAACGTTTGATAAGTTTATATGTATTTTTTATTCTAGATTTCTGGATAAATAGTTTGAAACTTGAGCTTATTGGTTTCAAGTTTTGTTCCAATGCTGATTGTTTTTGAGCTTGCTGGGACAAAGAAAGGCATTAAGGCATTTCCATAGTCAAATCCCCAGTGAAAATCCCGTCCAAAAAATTAATATTTTCCATACTTTTTGTTTAAAAAAATCAATATTTTAAAATATAGGATTTGGTTATGGAAACTATTTGGGGGATATTGTTAGACAAAGACTTGAGTTAACTGTGGTATTTAGAAAGTATAATGTATAGTGTGTGTGAAGGGTATATACTTTTATATACTATATAAGTATATACTTGTATAGTATATAAGACAAGTTTCAAACAAATCTGAAATTTGGAATTTGTCATAAGAGGTGTTCTTTAGTATTCTCATCAAATTTAGAAGTCTCTTACGCGTACGCACGCACGCACGCACACACGTGCATACACACATAGATACATATTTATATCTACATATCATGATTAGCTCTTCATCATGGACTGTCTGTCTGTCTCTCTCTGCACACACCAACTACTTGACCTGGTCTGAACAGCAATGACCTTGCTTCTTGCACGGTCGGCGTTCGATCCCCGAGGTTCCCAGTGGTTGGGCACCAATCCTTCACACCGCCCTTTTGTGCCACCCTCTTATATCCTCATATACCCCCAGCTCCTTGTCCGTGTATCCCAGCTCTTTTATAAGTGTTATATTGACATACTGACTTAACCTTTGCTGTTGATAATCGTTTTGCTTTGCCTGTACCGGTTGCAGTATGCAACTTTGGGCAGGAGTGGGAGGTGGGGAGTGTGGAGACTGTCACCCCCTACCGTGCTGGCAGCGGTCAGGAGATCCACGCATCTGTTGGTGTTGGCCTCGGCCTCCGATCTGTCAACGTTACTCTGAAAGGTATGTGGAAGTGTGTGTGTGTTGTGTGTGGAAGTGTTTGGTAGTATGTGTGTGTGTGTACTCGCCTAGTTGTGTTTGCGGGGGTTGAGCTCTGGCTCTTTGGTCCAGCCTCTCAACCGTCAATCAACAGGTGTACAGGTTTCTGAGCCTACTGGGCTCTATCATATCTACACTTGAAACTGTGTATGGAGTCAGCCTCCACCACATCACTTCCTAATACATTCCATTTGTCAACCACTCTGACACTAAAAAAGTTCGTGTGTGTGTGTACACTCACCTAGTTGTGCTTGCGGGGGTTGAGCTCTGGCTCTTTGATCCCGCCTCTAAACTGTCAATCAACAAGTGTACAGATTCTTGAGTCTATTGAGCTCTGTTATCGAAAATAATGTAATATTATTTTCTAAATAAAAAAAAAAAACGATTGGGCCCGACAATGTATTGACGTAACCTGATTGTGATCATTGACAGAATACTCACGTAGGGTGGCATCTGATTGGCTCAGAGCCAAGAGCTCAACCAATCAGGGGCTTGGTAACACGATATCGCTCATCAGTCCAATTGGTTGTTTGATATCTCGTGGAGAGGAACTTCCTTGAATTGATCTTTTGACATAGTTCCAGATATCTGTTTACCAGGAAGTTAAAGAATTAAATCATAAAATTGACAGTGGTGAGCTTAGCTACTTAAGTGTTTAGTAGTGATAGATAATAGAATAATGGATGATAGATTGATAGATCCCTTTCACAGACCAATCAGGTATGCGAGAAATAGATCGGGGACCTTCCATTGGTGTCAGGTCAATAGATCAATAGAGCAATAGAATGAAAAAACTCTATTGGAAAAAGTGTTTTTCACATTCTTCGTTAATAATATTTCAGCTAATTCATCAATGCAACTTAGTGTCTGTCTGTTGTTGCTATCATTGTTCAGTAGTTACGGTGCCCTAGAGTAACTTTGAAACGTTTGGGCACGTTTTCTGTTCACCTGATGCCTCTGTTCGCCTAGCAGTAATATAGAGGGACCCATGAGTAAGGCAACTGTTGTGGTTTGCATCCTGGGGAAGGTTAATACTAGGCCTAAAGAGACGAGGATAAGCTAAGGCATAGAATTCTTGATTGGTAAGCTTAGGAATGTGTGTGATTTATGTGGCTCAGTGGCGTGAGTCCAATCTTCCAGGGGATTGTGACTCGGATTCTACATATCATGTTGCTCCTGAGTCAAGCTACAGTTCCTGGTTCCCGCCTCCTTGTCGTTAATCAACATATGCAGGCGATGAGTCACAATAACGAGGCTAAAGTATGTTGACCAGACCACACACTAGAAGGTGAAGGGACGACGACGTTTCGGTCCTTCCTGGACCATTCTCAAGTCGATTGAGAATGATCCAGGACGGACCGAAACGACGTCGTCCTTTCACCTATTAGTATGTGATCTGGTCAACAATTAATCAACATAGATGCAATGTTTTCCTAAACATATATATTCTCTTTATTATACTAGATGTGTAAGACAATTATGTTAATAGCCATAAAAGGCCTTTTTGATATAACAAACAATATATAACTAAGCCCCAGTGATGATTCTGAAATACCTCATGACATTATCTTGCTCCCACAGCCCTGAGAGAACCAGAGGGTGACCTACGAGGCGAAACCATTAACTACAACGAAAGGTTCTCCTGGGAATGGGGTCAGGGCCGCGCCGGCTTCGGTCCCTTTGGTTAGTGAACCACGAAGTTGTTGCCCTTTCAGGCCATTAGGTTGTTAAAGCCCTGGGTGCGAAAAGGGGTTAAAAGGTCAGTAGCAAGCTACCCCTCTAACCCCTTTTCAAGAGGGGTTAGGGGTCAAGAGTTTACAGAACTCGTCCCCTAAGGGCAGGAGTTCTGAAAATCTTAGTTATATCTATCGGAGGCCACAATAAAATTTAGGGTTTTTATTTAGAGTTGAAGATTTAGATTCAAAGGTCAAAAGAAAACTTGAGTTTAGAAGTTCGTAAAGCTAATGGACTTGAAGCTGGAAGAGAGAAAAGACTTGGTATCTGAGATACCATGTCCCAGAACACTTAGTAATCAAGAGTTTTGAAAGATAAGATATGAATTCAGGAACTATTTGATCCGAAAGTCATGGACTCAGAGGTCAAAACCTCTGAGGCTCAACGTTCACCACTCCACACAACGTAACCTCAACATTTGTGGTAACGTAACCTCAACGTTTGTTTAACGTCATTACGTTATGATGCCACCATCCCATAAACTAACGTTGTGGGATGGTGCCTCAGCAATATTACAAGAATTTCAGAAACCTGCGGTGGGGATAAACGGTTATCTGAGTTACTGATATCTTCATAATTATCCAGCTAGAGATGGGGGTTCTGTGGTAACTAACAAGCCTCAGAATGTTTGTAGACAAAGGATTTACGGACCAGGGACCAGATTCACGAAAACATTTACACAAGCACTTACGAACCTGTACATCTTTTCTCAATCTTTGGCGGCTTTGTTTACAATTATTAAACAGTTAATGAGCTCGGAAGCACCAGGAGGCTGTTTATAACAATAACAGTTGATTGGCAAGTTTTCGTGCTTGTAAACTGTTTAATAAATGTAACCAAAGCCGTCAAAGATTGAGGAAAGATGTACACGTTCGTAAGTGCTTTCGTGAATCTGGCCCCTGTAGTTCACACGACCTAAAACTAAAGATGACAAGCTCTTTCATGCATCAAATGTAAACAGTAACTATTTTCAATTAAGGGTTATGCTTGCTCGCGTCCTGTTAAATCTCAATTAAAAACGGGAAATAATTGAATCATGCCAACAAAATTCCCTTTGCTAGCACTAAAAAATTTATTAGTTTATATTTGATTAGTTTCTACTTTATTAATTTCCATGATTTCTGTTTTATAGTTGCCAGGGTTTCCGGCTCCCAAATCTGTGCCTCACATGCTTCTCTCTGTCTCTAACAGCCGGAGAGATCCAGCGCAGTTTCCGGGCCGCTCAGTTCAAAGGGACACCGTTACCTATCCTGTGGGTGGCCGAATATTTCACCTTCGACGGAGAAGGTATCCGATTTGGCCGGTACTATCGGACGTCCGGTTGGTACGCCCACATCTGTATCTGGTAGGTGTATCCTCGTCCTGCATGCGGGGTGCAACTAGTTGAAGGTACAGTATTGCAACATTGCAGAGAACAATATTGCAGCTAAACCCCAGAAATGTTACAGCAAGAACATACACACTCCTGTCAGACCACAGCCACACCACAGCCACACGACAGCCACACCACAGCCACACCACAGCCACACCACAGCCACAGTCAGGACACGTAATACCTTCAGCTGTCACCCGTAGTTGTGACAACTTTGCAACATCTTGTCAAGATAGTGTTGGGGGTGGGGAGAGTGTTGGGGGGTGTGGGGAAGGGTGTTGGGGGGTGTGGGGAGAGTGTTGGGGGGTGTGGGGAGGGTGTTGGGGGGTGTGGGGAGAGTGTTGGGGGGTGTGGGGAGGGTGTTGGGGGGTGTGGGGAGAGTGTTGGGGGGTGTGGGGAGGGTGTTGGGGGGTGTGGGGAGGGTGTTGGGGGGTGTGGGGAGAGTGTTGGGGGGTGTGGGGAGGGTGTTGGGGGGTGTGGGGAGGGTGTTGGGGGGTGTGGGGAAGGGTGTTGGGGGGTGTGGGGAAGGGTGTTGGGGGGTGTGGGGAAGGGTGTTGGGGGGTGTGGGGAAGGGTGTTGGGGGGTGTGGGGAAGGGTGTTGGGGGGTGTGGGGAAGGGTGTTGGGGGGTGTGGGGAAGGGTGTTGGGGGGTGTGGGGAAGGTGTTGGGGGGTGTGGGGAGGGTGTTGGGGTGTGGAGTGTGTTAACTGTCTGTCTGTACGAGGATGAAGGCCAGATTGTTGTGGTTAGCATCACGCACCATTCAATGGTGAATTCTGATTGCATAGCGAGTGTCACAGGGTGCTTGGGATCCACCCCCATTCCCCTCCCTAGGTAGGATTGGCCCCTATTGTGACGCCCAATAACTCCTATGAAACCTGAAATGAGAGATTGATTCTCCATAGAGTGCTTCCCAACCTGTTCTCGGCTCTTATCGATGTTGAATCCACGTCGATAAGAGCCGAGAAAAGGTTAGAAAAACACTCCATGGACAATCAATCCCACATTTGAATTAACGTTAATTCAACGTTGCTCAAGCATGTTTTTACGTGTGTGTGTGTGTGTGTGTGTGTGTGTGTGTGTGTGTGTGTGTGTGTGTGTGTGTGTGTGTGTGTGTGTGTGTGTGTGTGTGTGTGTATGTGTATATATATATATATATATATATATATATATATATATATATATATATATATATATATATATATATATATATATATATATATATATATATATATATATATATATATATATATATAATATATAAACACGTGATGCAGTATTCAGCATTAAGAATATCTGTGACGTGAAGCCCACTATCCAGGTCTCCTCATCCTGTAGGATCCAGAATCTCTTTGATGTTGGGATTCGTGTTTAATCCTCTTTCCGGGAGAGTCAATCCTTTTTAAGGAAGGTTCTGACACGTTTAAAGTCTCTCGTCTTTGGGCATTTGTCAGTTATTTAGCCACTCTGTGAGTAGCAAGTCGACCAGATTAGCCATTCGACAGGCAGCAGGTCGACCAGATTAGCCACTCGGTGAGTAGCAGGTCGACCAGATTAGCCACCTGGGTTAGTAAAACCTCCCCCACCTGGCAGCCTTCGACCTAACTCCAACATCAAAAGCGACTAACCTTCTTGAGCCGGCCGCCCAACTTGTCCCGACCAACTGGTCTGGAAATATTTTGAGCAAGACTTGAGTCTCACTGCTCATCGGAGCCTGAATGCACAGGGTACACTTACACCAAATGAAATAGGAAAATGATCGAGGAAGGAATTATGAGGAGAATGCGTAAAGCCATTACGACTATGTAGCACTGGGAAGAGGTTAGGATAAGGATTTGGGACGGGGGAAAGGAATGGTGCCCAACCACTTGGATCGTCTGGGATTGAACGCCGACCTGTATATAGAGACCGTCGCTCGTCATAGAATGGTCGCTTAAAGTAACACAGATGGTATATCCGGGGTTTAAGCGTACAAATATAATCATTTAACTCTCTCCATGGCTCTAATCACTCTACAGATCCTGACGGAGATTCTGTTCTCTAATTCTGTTACCTACAGGAGGTGTGTGTTCTCTGAATCCTGATGGAATCTGTTCTCTAACCCTCTTCTTCATCTCCCACAGGACAGCGTTCCCACTCTGGATCCTGACGGTGATTCTGTTCAAGTTGACGATCATCTACGCTTCTCAAACTCTGGCCCTCACCGGCGCCATGTTGACCATCGCCGCCTTGATCTGGGCCGGCAACAGGAATTTTATAGAGCTGGAGGTACCGTTCTCGCCTCCACAGGGGGTCCTGAGGACTCACTATGGCATCCATTGGTACCTGGCTCTCATTGTTGGTAAGAAACTTGGTGCATGTCTGGTAGCAGCCAGCTACCAGACTTGTAACTTGGTGGTGGTAACTTGGGAAGATGATGTTATTGTTGGTGAAAACTTGAGTACACTTCTTGTTATGTAGCTTTAGATAGAGCGAGAGATACGTTGTTGACCAGACCACACACTAGAAGGTGAAAGGACGACGACGTTTCGGTCCGTCCTGGACCATTCTCAAGTCAACTTGAGAATGATCCAGGACGGACCGAAACGTCGTCGTCTCTTTACCTTCTAGTGTGTGGTCTGATATCCCAGCTCCTTGTCCTCATATCCCAGCTCCTTGTCCTCGTATCCCAGCTCCTTGTCCTCGTATCCCAGCTCTTTGTCCTCGTATCCCAGCTCCTTGTCCTCATATCTCTTCAAAGTGCTGTACAGATGTACTAGAGCTTAGTGCTCTCTCCTCATAATTTCTCTCCCCCTTCCCCTCCCCCTCCCCGTCCCCCTCTCTCTCCAGCAATAAACAGAGTTTTCAAAGCTGTACAAACAAGTGTAGTAAATCACTGTTTTGCAGGCTGTCTGTGCATGGTCCTGGGGGCCATCCTCTACCTCTTGGACCACAGGTACCACAACGAGCTCAGTGAGTTCTTCGGCAACAACCCCCTCATGATCGTTGAGCAGGAGACTACTGGTGAGTCTTGGTCTCCGGGCCAATGTTTTTGTTTATCCTGGTGATACGGGGTGAGGGTAGGGTTGGTACGCCTGCAGGAGCTGCTAGGGTAGGGTTGGTACGCCTGCAGGAGCTGCTAGGGTAGGGTTGGTACTCCTGCAGGAGCTGGTACGCCTGTAGGACCTGACAGGGTAGTGTTGGTACTCCTGCAGGACCTGACAGTGTAATATTGGAGTAAAATATAACATATTTTAGATATCTCGGCATATATTCAGTATATATGGTATATCAGGGCTATTCAACTGGCGGCCCACGGGCCAAATGCAGCCCTTGGGGCGATTTGAATTGGCTTTTTGAAGTCTCGGAGGAACCATGAAAAAATTAAATGAACTGTTGTTGTTGCATCTGTGCAGAGTGTGTATCGCTTCGCCCATCTTGGGACATGCACTCAAGAGGCAGAGTGACTACTCAGGTCTCAGCAACAGTCTACTAGAGAAAGCCGGAACATTTCTGCTGTTCCTGCTTGGAAGAAAGCAGGAACATTTCTGCTGTTCCTGCTGGAAGGAAAGCAGGAACATTTCTGCTGTTCCTGCTTGGAAGAAAGCGGGAACATTTCTGCTGTTCCTGCTTGAAAGAAAGCAGGAACATTTTTGCTGTTCGTGCTTGGTTCGATTCCCAGACGGGGACAGAAATGGTTGTGCTTGAATCTTTTCACCTAATGCCTCTGTTCACTTAGCAGTAAATAGGTACTTGGTAGTTAGGCAGTTGTTCTGGGAACACATCCTTAGGGGGGGTCAGTAGTTCCACCTTGGGGGGGGGTAAAGGCTCGATACAAGCCTGTGTATACATATGCACAGGCTCCCTGTCCCCAATAACAGGAATTATAACAAGATGTTGTGTGAATTATCTTTTATCTATATATAAGTAATTTCATTATTTAATGGGTTTTTTTGTACATGCATATGTGTGTGTATTATTTTGTCTGCAGGATTGAGCTGCTAGCTCTTGGTCTCCGCCTTTTTAACCCTCGGTTGTCTAATGTATTGACTCTTCATTTGTTTATATCTCCATTTGTGTGTGTGTGTGTGTTTGCGCGCGCGTGTGTGTGTGTGTTTGCGCGCGTGTGTGTGTGTGTTAATGCTTCATTGTCATCCACAGTGGAGACAAGTGACGAGCATCCCTCCAATGACGTAGAAATGGAGAATATGGGCAGCACACCATCGTCCAAGGTCAGTATCACGTCAGCTGACCCCTGGTGACCTTACGTTGTCCCCTGGTGACCTTACGTGAAAAAGCAAAAGACTACGAATATGGGTAGAACTAGCTGGACACTTGGGTAAAGCTACGGTTATTTGTTTTGTTAATTATCTTCTAATTTATATAAGATATACAAACAAACACTGTTTATCCACCCTTCAGAATGTGCTCGTCCAAGCTCCGACCCCCAAAGATGCGCTCGGTAATTTTAACATATTGTGTGTTGAAAATTGTCCTTTTCTCACATATAAAGTAGAATTGTGTTTGTAGTTAAACCTAGGTTTGGTTTGTTTGGGTTCTGCTGATAAGTATTGTTTCATTTATACTTTCTTGCAAATTTTTGATAGTGGGGTTCGTTGAATGTTTATTGAAGAAATGCTTTATTTTCACTAATCTTTCCGCAAGTTTAACAATGATTAAGTTATTTTTGGATGTTTATTCGATGTTTATGACAATTTTTAAAGATAGTAAATTTTTTTGTCATGAGTTTGATTTTTGTGTAGTGAAGCAAGTATATTTCTGAATGTTGATCAGACGGTACATACAGCATTGCATTGCTGCTTCACAGTCGTGTATTGATATACGGTGTATAGTGAATATACCGTGATATAAGCGGTCAGTTTCCACCCCGGAAATCCCCACGTTTCTGCCTCGTTTAGGCAGCCCCAAAACCTGATTACAAGTCTTTATATGATATACAAATATCGGAACTACTAAGTATAACCTCACTGGTATAATTTGTATATTATATACAACAATGAGATAATCCGCAAGGGCTGTAAGGTTGGAGCGAACCAATCAGGGACTTAGTGATGGAATGATGAGCATTTGTTGAAGATATGAGGGAAAATGAGGATCCTGCTTTTGTCAATATTAGAGTAACAAATGAGGATGAGAGGAAGCCTGTAACTTGTTCTCATGCTTCGTTAACTACTGTAACTTGTCCTAATGCTTCGTTAACTACTGTAACTTGTCCTCGTGCTTCATTAACCCCTGCAACTTGTCTTCGTGCTTCGTTAACCCCTGTAACTTGTCCTCGTGCTTCGTTAACCCCTGTAACTTGTCCTCGTGCTTCGTTAACCTCTGTAACTTGTCCTCGTGCTTCGTTAACCTCTGTAACTTGTCCTCGGGCTTCGTTAACCCCTGTAACTTGTCCTCGGGCTTCGTTAACCCCTGTAACTTGTTCTCGTGCTTCGTTAACCACTGTAACTTGGCCTCAGGCTTCGTTAACCCCTGTAACTTGTCCTCGTGCTTCGTCAACCCCTGTAACTTGTCCTCGTGCTTCGTTAACCCCTGTAACTTGTCCCCGTGCTTAGTTAACCTCTGTAACTTGTCCCCGTGCTTCGTTAACCTCTGTAACTTGTCCTCAGGGGAAGGTAGTGACGATTCTTCGAGGACGAGGAACGACTAAGAAGTACAACAAGACGCTAAGTTATTCTCCCGCCTTCGCCAACCCCGGCTTCGTTTCTACTCCAAGACGTAAGTTGTCACTCAATTGGCTAACGATGTTGGATTAACGATGAATTGGCGTCATATAGACAAAAAAAGCGTTGATTTAACGTTTAATAAGGGTTGGTGCAAATTGGTTAAATGTTTGCCTGATTGGGGTCGGTTCTCTCTCTCTCTCTCTCTCTCTCTCTCTCTCTCTCTCTCTCTCTCTCTCTCTCTCTCTCTCTCTCTCTCTCTCTCTCTCTCTCTCTCTCTCTCTCTCTCTCTCTCTCTCTCTCTCTCTCTCTCTCTCCAATTTACCTGTTTCAATCTATACATTTATATATAAGATCTCTGTCCGTTCCAAATGTCCAAGAGGCGTATGTTTATATATGACATTGTATGTTTTCCTATGTCGTGGAGTCACATATGTACCCTGTAAGTAGAAATCACATATAGACCCGAGGGTAGGAGTGGAAGTGGTTGAGGTTGTTAGTGGTAGCAGGGGATTGACAAAAGGGGGGGGGAGAGTAGGGGAGTGGCTTAGTTGACGGAGGAAAGATAAACATATCACTGCATCCTGTTCCAGTGAGTAGCTCCACTGTGGTGTAGTTGAAGGCCCTCTGGTGAGTGTTACATGGTCTGTGGTGTAGGTGAGGGCCCCCTGATGAGTGTTACATGGTCTGTGGTGTAGTTGAGGGCCCCCTGGTGAGTGTTACATGGTCCGTGGTGTAGTTGAGGGCCCCCTGGTGAGTGTTACATGGTCTGTGGTGTAGTTGAGGGCCCTCTGGTGAGTGTTACATGGTCTGTAGTGAAGTTGAGGGCCCCTGGCGAGTGTTACAGTCTGTGGTGTAGTTGAGGGCCCAACCAGTTTTAAATTTATTTATAACTATTTAACTATCTAACTAACAAATAGTTATCAACTATTCATATATTTACTAATTATATATATATATATATATATATATATATATATATATATATATATATATATATATATATATATATATATATATATACTTATTCATTTACTAATATTTGTTTTCTTCTTCAGTTGGTGGCGAGGCTGCTTCTGGTTACCAGGTGAGTATGATAGTGTACTCACTATCATCATACTGTATTGATGATAGTATGATAGAGGATAGTCCTTCGCCCCTCTTGGGTGTGTCTTGCGAGTGAACACAAATCTACACTTCTGTACCACTGGCTAACAGTGCCAAAATTTCCCCCATTATTTCAATACAAGCGACATTATACATGATAACACTGGTGTTTTTATGTTTCTCAGAGCAGCTGTTTCTCAGAACAGCTGCTCGCTTCTCCGAGCTTACAGTATCGTACCTTTCACAAACTCTCGTTGTTATAGATTAAGCTACTCGGAACAAGTTCAAAGTAGCACGGGCTATGGTGAGCCGGTAACTTACCTGGCACATGAGAGGGGAAAGAAGCACGTGATATGGCGAGCCTGTAATGTACTTACCTGGCACAGGAGAGGGGAAAGAAGCACGTGATATGGCGAGCCTGTAATGTACTTACCTGGCACAGGAGAGGGGAAAGAAGCACGTGATATGGCGAGCCTGTAATGTACTTACCTGGCACAGGAGAGGGGAAAGAAGCACGTGATATGGCGAGCCTGTAATGTACTTACCTGGCACAGGAGAGGGGAAAGAAGCACGTGATATGGCGAGCCTGTAATATACTTACCTGGCACAGGAGAGGGGAAAGAAGCACGTGATATGGCGAGCCTGTAATGTACTTACCTGGCAAAGGAGCGATCACAACCTCTCGTACATCTCGGGAACAAATGCCAAAAAATAATTCGGAAAAAAATTATCTATCAAATTTATATAATAAAAAAATCAACTTCTGAAAGACATGTTAAAATATTTGTGTTTGAGAATTATGAATATATTTTAAATTTGTTGGTAAATATAGAAATAGAATTTTTTTTTTTAAACGAAGTCATGGAGACCCGATGGTCTAAAATGGCAGAAGACACGTAATGGCATAAAGTAATTTGAGTGAGAAAAGAATTTTTGATTCCGGGAATATTTTGAAAACGGCGATGTCGTCGGGAATTTAGTAGTCGTTGATGGGAAATATTTTCAGGACATTTTTGGCTTCATTCTCGATCCACAGTCGGAAGTCCCGGGTTCGATCTTTGGACGGGACAGATGTGTGTTGGGCATCTATCCCTTACGCCTCTGTTCACTTTGCAATAAATAGGTACCCGGGAGTTAAGGGACTGTTGTGGGGAGAGTTTGACCTGGGAGGAACCTCGTATCATGTGTAAAGTGAGGGGTGTATGTGTATATATATATATGTATGTATATATGTATGTACGTACATATGTACATCCAAAAAAAGAGAACATATTGAAGCTGTTCGATGGGATCGAACCGCCGTCCCAGAACACCTCAGGCACTCGCACTGCCGAATGCTTTCACTGTGAACAGTAAGAATATAACCCATGGACCTCACCCATGTTAACCCCCTAAACTATGCAAATAAATAACTTACTACAACACTGTGCATATGACTTACAACAAAGAGCAAAAGGGAAAAAAACTGCCTCTGACGTTTGGAGCAATGTAAGGGTTTATGACATCTGAGTATCTAGAAGCGCACAACAAGGCTAAATATATAAACTCTCAGAAGTAAAGGAGGAAAATTTCCCAACATAATTTCCGGATTAAAGTGGACGAAACCTTGAGAGATGTTGACAATCTGCTGGATAATTTTAAAATTAGGAAATTCTTATTGACAAATAAGGTGTTTAAGTTCTTATAGAGAATATGCATGGTAGTCTACGTTCTTATAGAGAACGAAGGTGTGTGTAAAGTCTTATACAGAATGACGAGTCATAGACGCTTGTGGAGAAAAAAATGTCTGTAGATTTGAGTAGGGGAAGAAGAGATGCAGATTCTTGTAGAAAAAAGGATGTTTAGGTTCGTATAGAGAACGAAGGTGTGTAGATTCACGAAGACACCACAATCATGAATTTGGTAAGCACTTAAACCACTGTATTTATGAGTAAAACAAGTCCGTAAAAAGAGCATTATAAAAAGAGAAAAACGTGGTGAAACGTCAGATGAACAACGAGTGCAAAATATAAAAGTAAATATGTATGTTTGTGTGTGTGTGACAGGATGAAGTGTGTTCACATCACACTAAGAGTGTGGGGGTCCACACAAAGAAGAGATCAACATGTGAAAAAGAAAACCAATAAATTTGTAATGGAAAATGTGAATTAACTCTAACTAAAATAAACATTTTGGTCAAATTTAAGAAAGTTGAACGCGAGTTCACAGTCTCCGTGGTGTAGTGGTAAGACACTCGCCTGGCGTTCCGCGAGCGCTATGTCATGGGTTCGCATCCTGGCCGGGGAGGATTTACTGGGCGCAAATCCTTAACTGTAGCCTCTGTTTAACGCAACAGTAAAATGTGTACTTGGATGAAAAAACGATTCTTCGCGGCCGGGGATCGTATTCCAGGGACCATAGGATTAAGGACTTGCCCGAAACGCTACGCGTACTAGTGGCTGTACAAGAATGTAACAACTCTTGTATATATCTCAAAAAAAAAAAAGTTAGGTAATGATTGCTGGGACTAACTCGAGTAAATAAATTCTCACTTCCTCCCTCGTAATCTCGGTCTGAGGTCTGTGATTTTCTTTGCCTCAAGGCCTCTAAGCTTCTATTGGGGAAATCGCTTAGCCTCCTACAGAGAACGTCGCTTTTCGCACGTATGTGTTACATAAGGTCAAAAATTATCGTACTAGAAAATGGAAGCGGCTGACGAACTGTCCCGTTTTCTGTTTTTGGGTCCTGGTAGGTTAGGAGAGACCACTTTAAATTGACCGTTTTCTTGGCGGTGGGAAACCTTAGGAGGCCGGACTGTGTTATTCATAGAGTTCTTCACACTGGTGAACAACTTTTCAAAATATTTTTTGTTTTATACAATAGTTCTTACATTCTTGTACAGCCACTAGCACGCATAGCGTTTCGGTCAGGTCCGTAATCTTAATTTTCCCCGGAATACGACCCACCAAATCGTTTAACCACCAGGTACCCATTCACTGCTTGGTGAACAGAGGCTACAGTTAAGGATCTAGCGTTATCTGTGAAGGTGTTCTCCTTGTTCAGTTTCATACCCGGTCCTTTATTGTCGTTCTCCTTCCGATCATTTAAGTTTTGCCTTCCATCTGATTCGTCCGTAGATCAATCTGTGTCTCCGTTCTTTCTTTCGTTATTCTCAAAGGGGCTCTCTGCTTCCCCATTTCATTTGTGTTCTGTAATTGTCCATGTCGTCTCGTGTGCATGTGTGTTTGTGCGTGTCTGTATCTGCGAATACCACCTTCATTGTACCTAACCTGACCTATTGGACCTAACTTTGAAATGACCTCGTTTCAGGGCCAAGCCTATGGCCAGACCCCTTCAAGGTACAATTACGGCCAGCAGGACCAGCAAGCCCAGGGCTACCAACAGGACTACCCAGCTCAAGGCTACTCACAAGGCTACCAAGCTCAAGGCTATCAAGACTATCCTGATCAAGGCTATCAACATCAGGACTACCCACATCCCGCCCCCTATCAAGGAGACGCTGTTATTGACGAGGAGGAACCCCTCTATATGAACCCGTAAGTGTTCTACACTCTTACATGACCCTGTAAGTGTCCAACACACTTCTACATGACCTGTAAGAGTGCAACACTCTCCTACATGGCCCTGTAAGTGTCCTTTCTCTCTCTTTCTCGTTCTACCTTTTATCTTCTCTTTTCTCTTTACACTTTTTCTTTCGTTCTTTCTCATGCTCTCTCTCTCTCTCTCTCTCTCTCTCTCTCAAAAGGTACATTAAGGGATAAAGATGTATTAAGATTTGCTTAAGGAGTCTTCCTGTAACAAGAAAATGATCATTAATCTTGAATTGTCTTACTTTTCAGACTTGGCCCAGACGAGACGGCTGTGCCTCCGCCTCGCCCACCTAAAGCAGGCCATCGCTACTGAGATCTTACGGGCTTACCATAGCCCGTGCTACATGGACATTTTGATCTGAGTAGCTAAATCTAAAGCAACAATAACACTGAGACCACTCCTACCTATTGCTGTCTCACCACCCACTGTTTGTCTTAGCTCATAACTATGTCTGTACTTCAGTCTTCATTACTCGAATGCCATCTTATTCCTTCCTAATTCCTCCCACTGCACCTTTCCTCTAGCTTCCATATTGTGAGCTCAGACGCCTTCTCCACACACACACACACACACACACACACACACACACACACACACACACACCCTCCCTCCCTCCCTCCCTTCCAAGAAAGGCCAACACAGACTCAACCCAAAATCCACCTAAACATAGGCCAAACACTTGGTATACACCATTACTAAACAACTATTGTATACCAGGCTGTCCAGAAGCCTCGCGGCAAGCAAGGATACTCTCGGGACGAGTTAGTTTACATACTTGAGAAAGTTACAAGCAATAAATGTGAAAAACAACTTATGACAGGTCGGAAGTGAATGTAGAAGAGAAATAAATAGGGAGAACGAGTATTTTGGATAATTATAGATAGTCTGACAATTTGCTGAATTTTACTGAGGCTATTAAGAAAACGAAGCCAATTTCAGATAATACAGAAAATAAATTGGAAAAAAAGATATATTCCCGCGTATCAGAAACAAGTGGAAAAAATTTTGAACATAGAAATTTTGTATCATCAACCAAAGATAAAATTCATAAAAAAAATATCTTGGAAAAGGCACAGAAAATGGAAAATTTATCTCCAAAACCTTCCGAATCAAAGCACTCTGTGGAAAATGTAAAACAAATCGGAAAATTTAGTGATGAATCTGAAAATCAAGGAAAATATAAGAGGTCACGTATATTTATGGAACAATTTACCACACAAATAATGACTGCTAAGCACGATCAGTCATTCAATAACAAACCGGACGAGACGAGGCTCATGAACAAAAATTTAAGATATTCGGGGAAATTGGAGCAACCTACCAAAAATAAATCACATTTTCCATGGAAATTAATGACAGGAGATGAAAAGATTGACAAGAAAAGTCAATCTAGAAATATTTCACAAGAGAAATTGGATTTCAGGTTAAACGGTTTTACATTCACTCTTAAGTTGTATGTAAGGAGATTTGCATCCTCTTTGAGCATGATCCTCTGTATTCTATCCATGGCACTTACATCATTTTGGCATAGAATAAACACCTTGCTTAAATCCACCACAGCTCGCATCGTTCAGATTAACGCAGCATTTATATCTTTGCTGGTCGAAGTCATTCCAAGGAAATTGTTCAAACGCGTTATGATATATTTCTGCTACATCACCTCCGGCTTGAGGTATCGGTCAGCTATGTTGTTCGTCCTCAACTTAGCGCCGTCGAGGACGACGAAGGCAGTGGTGAGGGCGTACCTGAGGCGAGTACCAGCCTGGGTGATGGCGTGGCAGGCCCAGCTCCTCCTGCCAGGAAGTAGCTCCTTCGCCAAGATCATCAGGAACTTGGGAGAGGTTGTGCGTCTTCCCGCCACTCTGCTGGAGACTGTCTTCGTGGCCACGGCGGGGCTGCTCGGGGCTCTCTCCAAGACTCTGACCTTCTCCAGGAAACACTCGACTAAACCGATATTTAAACGCGTCTCTTCTTCGGAGTCAAAACAAACAAATAGTTTCCAAACACATCCGGAGAAATTAGAACAAGATGCCAAAAGCAAAAAATGTTTTTTGAAACTGATGGCACGCGACAAAGAGTGTCCATTCGAAAAGATTTCACAAGATGATTTAGACCCCAGGAGAGCTGGACCCTCACGGAATCCCAAGTTATACATCAAAAGAATCGCATCATCTTTGAATATGATCATCAACATTCTATCCACGACAGTAGAATCGTTTTGGCACAAAATAAACACCACCCTAAAATGCACTGGAAGTCACATACTACACATTATCGGAGCATCTACATCTTGGCTGATTGAGATCACCTGTTTCAAGAATATCTTCAGCATCTTGTGCCAAGTGCTGCGTCTGCCCATCACTCTGCTGAAGGCGGTGCGGAGGGCCCCGGCGGGAGCTACCAACTCCCACTGTAGATCTGGGCCTTCATCCCGGAGTATCTCTGTAGATGGGGTCCGGAGGCGCCTCTCTTCCTCATCTTGGAAGCTAAAGATAAGACGGAACTCTGAGCAATAACCAGAAGGAATGTCAACAGGCTCAGTGATAAGGATCCAGTGGTTCAGCAGCCCCGTGGCGAAGTGATTCGCCTGGCGTTTTGCGAGCGCTTTGGTATGGGTTCGTATCCTGGCTGGGGAGGATTTACAGGGCGTTAGTCCTTAACTGTAGCCTCTATTCCCCCAGCAGTGAATGGGTACCTGGTTGTTAAACAGTTTGGCGGGTCGTATTCCGGGGAAAATTTAGGATTAAAGATCTAAAATTAAGGATTTAAAATCTTCTCATAGTGTGAGGTACTTAGAATTTCTTAAGTGTGAAGTATTTACAAACTGTAAGGTACTTATATTATTTTCTGTTTGTGTGTATATGTGTGTGTTTTTTTAATATGAGTGGGTACTTGAGGTAGCGACATCTGACACCTGTAGCAGGCTTTGAACGTTCCTACGAACGAACGAATGGAAGCCGAGCGGACAGCACGCTAGACTTGTGATCCTGTGGTCCCGAAGTAGATTCCGGGCGCCGGCGAGAAACAATGGGCAGAGTTTCTTTCACCCTATGCCCCTGTTACCTAGCAGTAAAATAGGTACCTGGGTGTTAGTCAGCTGTCACGGGCTGCTTCCTGGGGGTGGAGGCCTGGTCGAGGACCGGGCCGCGGGGACACTAAAGCCCCGAAATCATCTCAAGATAACCTCAAAATAACGTTTCTTTCCAATATCATGTTAAACTTTATACTACCAGGTGTTCCATAGAACACAACCCGTCATTTGGTTTACAACCAGGTCTTCAATTACTGGTGAGTGAATAGAGGCGAGCAGTTAAGGACTTGGGGTATTTGTGTTTTTATATTTGACAAATGGCATGAATGAACTACTTGTACTATTATGTTGCTTCCAAAATTATTAAAAATATTCTTTACAATATATATTATGATTAAGTTGATGATAATGAGTATAATTAGGATATTTCATCGTTAACAATATATAATTATTTTGTTTTTGTTAAACATTAGAATTTAATATTTAATATTGTAGAAATATTGATATTCTAATAGAATAATATTGTAAAAATATTAGAATGTTAATGATTATATATAGTAATACCTACTAATTAAACACTGTAACATGTTTTAATGTAAAATGTATAAATAAAAATTAGTAAAGAAAAGAATTTGCCTCTTAGGAACTTCAATCTTGGGATGAAAAATATAATAAGTGGAAAAATAAGCATGTCGGGGACCTACGACAACCCGCCGGCTTCCTGTCCTCATCGAGGCCACTAGTGTTAGTGGCTCTCAGGTAAAGGGGCTGACTTTGAGCTTAAGAGGGGAGGTCCACAGAGGATCTATCTTGAGGTTATCTTGAGATGATTTCGGGGTTTTAGTGTCCCCGCGGCCCGGTCCTCGACCAGGCATCTACCCCCAGGAAGCAGCCCGTGACAACTAACACCCAGGTACCTATTTTACTGCTAGGTAACAGGGGCATAGGGTGAAAAAAACTTTGCCCATTGTTTCTCGCCGGCGCCCGGGATCGAACCCAGGCGCCGGATGGGAAAGTTTATGCTACGAAAGATTGAGGGAAGAATATTTTCTCCATGTTGCTACTAAATGAATGAGCTAGAATACTAACTGGCTTTTGGACCGATTGATTGATTGATGAAGATGATGAATCACAATAACGTGGCTGAACAATGTTGACCAAACCACACACTACAAACAAATCCACAAGGGCCGTGACGAGGATTCGAACCTGCGTCCGGGAGCATCCTAGACACTGCCTTAATCAAAGTCCTATATATACACACACACTATAAATTGAAGTGACTACGATGTTTTGGTCCGTCCTGGACCATTCTCAATCGACTTGATAATGGTCCAGGACGGACCGAAACGTCGTCGTCTCCTCAATTTCTAGTGTGTAGTTTGGTCAACATTGATTGATGAAGATTTAAGCCATCCAAGAGGTGGCACGGGCATGAATTGGCTTCCAGCACCACCACACAGCCGTACGCCAGGCCTTGGGGGACCTGGAATGGGGCTTACGTGGAGTGCCTAAACTCCCTCACCTCTTACACTTTCAGTGTCTTGACACACTGAGTGCTTATTCTTGGAAGGAGCTCTATGATGGTGTATTCCGCTTTTTGGAATAAGAAGCGTTTTTCTCTTCTTTACTTTCGTAACAAGATTCTTTTCTTTACTTGTGCCGTACCTACGTTATTCCGCATTTAATAACGTTCCGTTATTTATGCTTCAGTAAAGATACTTTTTCTTTTTTGCACTGTCTGGCCTGTGTGTTATTTATGTTTCTCTCGGGACCTTTTGTTTTCCTGCATGTTAACCTTCAGGTTAGACGTTCTTTTCCTCAAGACGCCCCTGCTTTTACGTTTTCTTTATTACGTTTTCTTTCGTACGTGGGTTGCAATGGTTAACTATGCTATTATTATTCCGGTCCAGGGGGAGGGTCAGCGTGCCTTGCGGGCCTTCTCTTCCTTGAGAAATTGAAGTAAAAACTTAGTTTGACTATTGCAGACTATTGCCAGTCTTTCATGAAAAGCTTTAGCGAAGTCCGTTTATACTATGTCTACTGGGAGCTTTTTTAGTATTTTAACTTTTCAATGATCTTAAAGGAAGAAATGTATATTCAGATTCAGATTCAGATGTTTATTCAGGTAAGGTATATACATACAAGTGATGTTACATTAATGGATTGATATATAGATAGAGCTAGTACATACAATGCCTAAAGCCACTATTACGCAATGCGTTTCGGGCAAGAAAAACATTAATATCTAGAACTTAATACTAATTGAGCATAAAGAATAAAAAGTGTTGAGAACAAATACAAATAAATATAAAAAAAGGGGGAACATGACTGAAAAAGCAGCACAAATACAATAGGTTGACAGTGTTGATTAAAAAAAAAAAAAAAAGAAAAGAAAATAACAGACATGGGTTGACAATAGAGGAGTGAGGTAGATTACAGGGAATTTATTAGGTAGTGTTTTGTTTTTATCTTAAACTGGTTGAGAGAGGTACTGTCTTTAACATGGTTGGGAAGGTCATTCCACATTCTGGGCCCCTTGATTTGCAGAGCATTTCTAGTTTGATTAAGACGTACTCTAGGAATATCAAAACTGTATTTATTCCTGGTGTGGTGCTCATGGGTTCTGTTACAACCTTCTATGAAGCTTTTAAGATCAGGATTGGCATTATAGTTTAGCGTTTTATATATGTATAATACACATGAGAGAATGTGCAGTGACTTAATATCTAACATATTCAGAGATTTGAGTAGGGGTACCGAGTGATGTCTGGGGCCAGAGTTGGATATTGTTCTAATAGCAGCTTTGTGTTGGGTAATTAGAGGACGTAAGTGATTTTGGGTAGTAGAACCCCAAGCACAAATACCATAGTTGAGATAAGGATAGATAAGGGAGTAATAGAGAGTCACCAGGGCAGGGCGTGGTACATATCTGATATGTTTATCTCTCAGAATGTTCGGTAATACGTTTATTGTTTGTGATGTGTGTCTATGTATGTATTAACACGATGTGCCTCTGTAACCCTTTCCACTACCGCCCACAAGATGGGTATGGGGTGCATAATAAATTAACTCTGGCTTCATTTACTCCAGTCCTGATCCCCTTGCACTAAATGCCACAGTAAATACTGAGCTAAATAAAGTCCATCTGTGGCTAACTGCCAACAAACTCACCCTTAACATTGACAAAACTTTCTATATTCTGTTTGGCAATAAATCCTCTAATCAAATAAATCTCAAAATAAACAATACCCAAATTTGTAACAAATTAGATGGCAAATTCCTTGGCATTCTCATTGACCACAAGCTGAATTTCCAGGGACACATTCTAAACATATCAAAAAAAGTTTCAAAAACTGTGGGCATTCTTTCTAAGATCAGATATTATGTACCACGCCCTGCCCTGGTGACTCTCTATTACTCCCTTATCTATCCATATCTCAACTATGGTATTTGTGCTTGGGGCTCTACTACCCAAAATCACTTACGTCCTCTAATTACTCAACACAAAGCTGCTATTAGGACAATATCCAACTCTGGCCCCAGACATCACTCGGTACCCCTACTCAAATCTCTGAATATGTTAGACATTAAGTCACTGCACATTCACTCATGTGTATTATACATATACAAAACGCTAAATTGTAATGCCAATCCTGATCTCAAAAGCTTCATAGAAGGTTGTAACAGAACCCATGAGCACCACACCAGAAATAAATACAGTTTTGATATTCCTAGAGTACGACTTAATCAAACCAGAAATGCTCTACAAATCAAGGGGCCCAGGATGTGGAATGACCTTCCCAACCATGTTAAAGACAGTACCTCTCTCAACCAGTTTAAGTTAAAAACGAAGCTATACCTAATAAATTCCATGTAACCTACCTTACCCTTCTATTGTCAACCCATGTATGTTTTTTGTTTTTTTTTTTTGTTTTACAAATCAACGCTGTTTTAATGTAATTTTCTGTAATAATTTATAATTGTATTTGTGCTGTTTTTTCAACAATGTTCCCCCCCTCTTTTACCTCTATTTTTATTTGTACTCAACGCATTTTTTTCTTTTTACCCATTAGTTTTAAGCTTTAGTCAGTAGTGTTTTTTCCTGCCCGAAACGCTTTGCGTAATAGTGGCTTTAGGCATTGTATGTACTAGCTCTATCTATAAAGCCAACAAACTTTGTAAAATCTCTTTATGTATGTACCTTTGCCTAAATAAAAATTATTATTATTATTATTATAACTAAACTAAACTAACACGATGTACTGAACGGGGTGAGAATAGCTTGAGCTACCTCATCCCTTTGTGTGTATTTTACCTCAATAAACTTATTTCAATTTCAATGATCTTCTTGGTTGTCGCCGCCGGCTTCAAATCCTCGGCGAGGCCACTAGAGATAAATTCGTGTAAATTCCGGTAAAGTATTAAAAGTCACAGTAACAGCATGGCAAGTATAGATACATTGTTATATCAGAATCACAAACTTATTTGGTAACAACTTATACCGATCTTTTCAATAGATCGGTATAATATAGAAATAGATAGAAATAGATTTTCTTTTCAATACTGGTTAGACTGATGTGGCGTATGGCAACCTAAATAAAAAATATTATTTTGGAGAAAGAGAAGAATTTTGGAGAAACCTTTAACTAATAATTAGAAAGATGATATTTTGTAAAGATACAATTTATATCACAAAATTAGAATGATGAGACAATTAGCAGTAAAACTAATATACGTGAATCATTTCATGACTGTATATACCTATAATATGTTAAGTAATAATTGTAATTACGAAGCAATAAAATGCTTATCTTGATATACTAAGAAGGTTGGGTAAGGTCGGTGTTTTCTATGAAGCTTTTCAAAGTAAACTAGTATGTTAAGTATGTCACATGCACGTATTTAATAAGTCAATATTGACTATACGAAAGTGCGAGAACGGGTTGTATATATTTGCCCACCCTTGGCTTCAAGTTCAATTACGTTTATTGAAGCGATAAAATACATTTCAAAAGAGTCTCCGTGGTGTAGTGGTAAGACACTCGCCTGGCGTTCCGCGAGCGCTATGTCATGGGTTCGTATCCTGGCCGGGGAGGATTTTCTGGGCGCAATTCCTTAACTGTAGCCTCTGTTTAACGCAACAGTAAAATGTGTACTTGGATGAAAAAACGATTCTTCGCGGCAGGGGATCGTATTCCAGGGACCTGCCCGAAACGCTACGCGTACTAGTGGCTCTACAAGAATGCAACAACTCTTGTATATATCTCAAAAAAAAAAAAAAAAAAAAGGATAGAGTAGCTTAGGCTATTCTACCCTCTTTGTGTTCTACATCAATAGATGTAGATGCAGTCCCCGTGGCGCAGTGGTAAAGCACTCGCCCGGTGCTTCGCAAGCACTTGCGCCTGGATTCGTATCCTGGCTGGAAAGGATTGACTGGGCGCCAATCCTTATCTGTAGCCTCTGTTCACCCAGAAGTACTCACCTAGTTGTGCTTGCAGGAGTGGAGCTCTGGCTCTTTGGTCCCGCCTCTCAACTGTCAATCAACTGGTTACAGATTCTGGAGCCTATTGGGCTCTATCAAATATACTCTATTTGACTCTTGAACCTATTTGACTCCTATCAAATAGAGCCTATTGGGCTCTTATGAAATCAATCAAGAAGTCTTATTCCTAAATACTTCATCACATTTCTAATTCCTAAATAAATTATTATTAAATAAATTATTATTATTTATTTATTTTATTTATTTATTTATGCATATACAAGAATGTACATAAGGAATGTGAGGATACAAATATGGTAATTACAGTCTTGTAAAGCCACTAGCACGCGCAGCGTTTCGGGCAGGTCCTTAATCTAAGAAAATTTTAAGGAGGTAAATACTTGCAAAAATTATAGACAAAAAATGATAACAGATTACATGAAATGAAAAAAGATGAGAGAAAATTGTAGGTACAGTATATTAAAGCACATAGGTAGCTAAGATTGATTGCAATGACAGCTTGAATGGTAGTTGACAAAAAAATTGGTAGGCACAATACAGCAGAAACAATATAAGATTGGTTGCAATGACAGCTTGAATGGTAGTTGACAAAAATTGGTAGTCACAATACAGCATATGGCTAGCACATTAAAGAAGACAGCAATGAACACAATGATAAGGTTGTTTGATATTACATAAAAATTAGGAGATTGGGTAACACTAGGTACAGAGCAAATTTAAAGCTCAGTGTAGGAAACTAAGAAGATGAAATTAGGTACTTTTTGGTTTTGCTTTTAAATAAGGCAAAAGTTTTACAGTTTTTCAATTCACTAGGGAATGAGTTCCATAGACTAGGTCCCTTAATTTGCATAGAGTGTTTATACAGATTAAGTTTGACCCTGGGGATATCAAAGATATATTTATTTCTGGTGTGGTGATAATGGGTCCTATTACATCTGTCCAGGGAGAGTTTCAGAGCATGGTTTGCATTTAAGAGTTGCAGTTTGCATTATTAAGTGAATGGGTTAAACGATTTGTCGGGTCGTATTCCAGGGAAAAATTTGGATGAAAGGACCTGTCAGAAACGCTATGCGTTCTAGAGGCTTTACAATAATATAAGAACTCTTGAATAAATATAATAAAATAAATGATTTTTGGTGGCTAAATAGGGTATCCCCCCCCCCCCCCATCAATCTTTTGTTTACTTTTGAGGTAAACAAACAGATGGGCGGCCGCCATTTGCGAGTCCACGAAGACTTCCTCCCTCGATATCTTTGCCGAGAGAATCAACTTTACTACCTCCTGTAACAAATTATCACCCTCATTTACGTAGCTATGAATGGCTCGATAAAGTGTAAGTGTTTGCGAGTCGATATTTTCTGGAAGATTGTGTATAGTTGTCTTAAGATGTCTTATGAGCGGTGGCGAGGGAGACGTCTTCATCACATTTCTTAAAGAGCTGCGAGCCATGAATGGAACTCCAGGATACGAGGAGGAGGTGTGTGTGTGTGGGAGTCTGGCCTGGAAGGGGGATATTTCCAGCGCTGGAATCATGTCTGCCGTGTAAGGTGATGACAAGTGATGACAGTTCATCACTTGAGCTGTCTTGAGGAGTCTCGTTGTTGGTGAATTAAATGTACTACTGTGTGTACTACTGTACCTCTATCTTTAAATCTAACAATGTTTGTACTGTAACACTGCAACTATGTATGTACTGTTCCTAAATAAATTAGTATTATTATTATGTTGAGTGTGGTGCACGCTGGACTTGTGATCCTGTGGTCCTGGGTTCGATCCCAGGCGCCGGCGAGAAACAATGGGCAGAGTTTCTTTCACCCTATGCCCCTGTTACCTAGCAGTAAAATAGTACCTGGGTGTTAGTCAGCTGTCACGGGCTGCTTCCTGGGGGTGGAGGCCTGGTCGAGGACCGGGCCGCGGGGACACTAAAGCCCCAAAATCATCTCAAGATAGCAAAAAATTACCAATCAAGCTGTCAATGTAATCAATCAGAGCTTTAATATATCAATGTGCTTTAATATACTTACTAATCTCTCTCATCTCATTTTTTTTTCTTGCAATGTATTTAACATTTTATTAATTCTGCTAGAATTTACCTACTTACAATTATGTTAGATTAAGGATCTGCCCGAAACGCTGTGCGTACTAGTGGCTTTACAAGATTGTAAATACTATGCTATGTATTCTCACAAACCCAATGTACCTTCTTGTATATAAATAAATAAAATAAAGCCACACAAGCAGCAGTGGGTGATGGGTTCATTGTTTGGACAAATATAACTCCATAAATTAGAAGATCAAACCAATTTTGATTTTCACGAGATCCATGCATTGAATCGTGAAAAGATAGCATTATAATATTTTTTTGTCTAATTGGTTTCTATCAGATACCCTTCATGTTAAAATGTTTATGGACGATATTCCAAGATTTCCTGGTATTCTGTGGTTTCATTCTGTGCTCTGATGTTAGTGCTACAAGCTGTTTTTTCAGCATTGATATCTGGAGATTGTCAATTCCTTGAAGGTTTCTTTACACCCTTGGTTAAACCATGAGTTATTCTTGTATATCTGCCCGAAATGCTATGCGTGTTAGTGATTATAAAAATGTAAAAACATCAATGCTATGTACTCTCATAAACCCATTGTACTTTCTTGTATATAAATAAGTAAATATTGATCCACTTCACAGCCTTAGAATAAGGAGTTACTGTGTCTTGCACTAAGGCCAAAAGATCTTAAGACATCCCATCCAAACAATCTTAAAATGTTTTTGAGTCACTGGAGTAAATGTCATAAACCAGGTTAGCCATTACCCATATTGAATGGGTATTCAATACCCATTCAAATATTCATAAATGATTTTACATTTATAATTGAGTTTACATCAAATTTCAGTATATTATTTCCATAGGAGAAAGTCATAACATACGCCACTGACCTCACGTGTTTTTGCAGGGTCTGTCGAGTCTACCCGGGAGTTCATTCAGCTTAGATATAAGCTTCGGCATCATTTCAATGGACGCAAACATCAATGTGAGAAGGCATATAGGTATTGTATTCACTCAATAATTATCTTTTCCAACTATTTGCATGTTTGAATTGAATGATTACCAGATTTTATATTTTAAATATTTAAAAATAATTATGATCATTCAGTACAGTTCTGTTTTTTTTTTGTGAGTTTGCGAGTCTCGGAATACTTCTCTTAAAGTATTTTAGGTAAAGAATTAAATTAAAAATGTGTAAGCATCCTTCATTGTCAAACAGTATAATGTATCTTCTTGAGGTTATCTTGTATAATGTATCTTCTTGAGGTTATCTTGAGATAATTTCGGGGCTTTAGTGTCCCCGCGGCCTGATCCTTGACCAGGCCTCCACCCCCAGGAAGCAGCCCGTGACAGCTGACTAACACCCAGGTACCTATTTTACTGCTAGGTAACAGGGGCATAGGGTGAAAGAAACTCTGCCCATTGTTTCTCGCCAGCGACCGGGATCGAACCCAGGACCACAGGATCACAAGTCCAGCGTGCTGTCCGCTCGGCCGACCGGCTTCCGTCAGATACAAAGATAGAGATAGTTATACTAAAGTTATTTAGTTATACTAAAACTTTTATGTATACAGCATTTATAGCAAGTAAGATTACTTGATATTCGTATTAAAACTGTTAGTTGAGGGAGCATGTAAGAAGAATTATTAGCAATACTGCATATGGTATTTCTGAACTTCTGAGAAAACATGAGATAGAGTGAATAGAGAATACACTTAAATTAACGAGTTTTATTTAAGAAATAGAGCATGGGTAGAGTAAGTGGTGAGTAATTTGGTATTCAGATAGAAGCATGACAGAGCTGAGTAATTTCTCCATGGTTGTTCAGTATATATATAAATGGGGTTATGAGAGAGAGATCAAAATTATTATACAGTTAATGTTTATATAATGCAAATTTATACTGCATATGTAGTTACCGTAATCTAAATTGTGCGCATTGTTATTATGTAGCTTGAGCTTAGGGTATGCTTCCCTTGTCCACTCAAACCCAGAAAACAACGAACTTCCTCAGTCCAGTGGGACCAGTGAGGAGATTTGTTTTATTACAATGCATTTCTGAATAGGGGTCCCCCTTGGTGTGTCTCAGGATCATACCTGGACTCTGAGATCCACACTGACCTATCATAAGCCAGAGTTGGAATTTGTCTCAAAGAGGCAAGAGAAGCTTAGGGGTTGGAGATCAATGCAAAAGTGATGAAAACCATGCAGAAAGTCAGACAAAGCAAACCAAGCATACTGCTTGTAATATAAGAAAAAAAGGATGGAAAGATGTGAATGAACAACCTTAACCCTAACTCGACCTGCTACCTCCAAATGACAGCACAGGGCATCCAGAGTCCGTGCCCACCACCTAACTCGCCTACTAGATTCAGCTATGGAATATCTCTTACAACCTCCCCTCCCCTCTTTCCTCAAAAAAAAAAAATGGAAGGAGGGAAAGACGGCAGGAAGCTTCTGAAAAAGGCTGTTTCATTACAATCAACTCTTCATTTTTGGTGCTTGCTCATTGGCACCTCAGAGAGAAAAATGGTTTTGCTAAAAAGAAAATCTGGATTATGGAGTACCCCATGGAAGTGGATGGCAGAGGGACAGGAGTCAGGATACAGAAACATCAAACAGCATGACAGGTCTGTCAAGCCTCACCATGCTTGGGCATAGATGCCCAAACATGGCAGAGCTGTGGAATATCCAACTGGTATCAAGAGACCAACATCCTGGAGACTGAAAACTCTGTACTCGAGTAGCAGTCATGGACAAAGTAGCAAAGAATGCTGCTGAAGCAACAAACTGCCCACACTGACCCAATAATTGCAAGTTCTGACGTTTCTAGGTGTGTCCTCAAGTGTAAACCCAGCACCAGGCTCAGCACACAGCCACCAGAATGTGATTATGGTTAGACCAAATTAGGGATTACAGTACACAGTATATTTCATAGATTATCATTGCATTAGTACTTAAGACAAAAGAAAAAATTTCTTATATGTGGGAGAGAACTTGCAAGCTAGTACAGTACAGTTATTTATTAATCATTATTATAGTATGGTATCAATATGAACTTGAACTTCCTGTGCTCCTTGTCCCTTCTCCTCATTGGAGACTCCTGCTTCAACCTTTGACAGGGTGTTCAGTTGTGGATAGTTTCCCCCTTCCCCAACACTTTAATGACCATACACATATTTGAAAATTCCATAGAACACCATACAGTATGTTGACCCTGCCTGATAGCACAACTCTCTCCAACAACATAGAAATTTTAATTTAGTGAGCAAACAAGTGTTTGTGTTCAAAAACATGCTTTGCATATTAACTGAAACCATATATTTATGTCTCGTACATTTCATTGTTGTAAGGCATTTCATAAAATTTAATTCTGTCTTTAATTCTAATCATCATTCTCTCTCCCCCACCATCGCACCTCAGTCGGATTGTCGACGAGCTTGGACTGACGAGTGTTATAACGCCTACACAGGCTAGGAAAAAATGGTCCAATCTTATGCAAAAATATATGGTGCGTATCATATTACCAACTTGTATCAACTCGACAGTTGTTGATAGAGTAATGTCATAATTATCCAAAAGTGGTGTTGAATACAGAACATGTACAGTACAGTACAATACAGTACATGGTTATAGTTGCACTAAGGAATATAGCGGATGCTGTTGATGGGTCGTGACAAGGCTCAAGGCTGTAGCAGGGATTTGTATTCCAGTAGATGCCTCATAAAACCTTGCTTGCTATTTTGTTTTGAATTCAAATATTGTGCTGCTCAATGATCAATCATTTTATTGCTGGTCAAGCAAGAGTTTGAATTTGATTAATGTGAATATATAAAATCAGAGGAATTACTCAACACATCTGATGTTTGGGAAGACAGAGGAAAGAATTATAGTACTGTACTGCATGTAATTTGTGGCCTTGACCAACGGCTAGGTGTATTCATAATTTATTAGCATGTAAGGATTTACTTATTAGCTGAAACGTAGTTTTGTTTCTTTTAGATATTTAACATTAGGTATCCTCATCAAGGTTTAATGAGTATGTGGTTTTATTTTGTTTATTTTTTCATATATGTTTCAAGCAGGTTTCCATTAATAACTAATGTTTGTATGATGAACAAATAAGCAGAAAGCCTTGTTTTCCTCAGGAATTTCTTTCTTTCACGTAGCAGTTTGTTTTGTTTCGTCTGAGTTTTTGTTCAATTTTTCTATTTGGGTCAGTCTCTGATCTTCAAGCTTCCCTCACTGCTGAGAGAGCCAGGTTCAGGACGCTGCCCTCACTGCTGAGAGAGCCAGGTTCAGGACGCTGTCCTCACTGCTGAGAGAGCCAGGTTCAGGACGCTGCCCTCACTGCTGAGAGAGCCAGGTTCAGGACGCTGTCCTCACTGCTGAGAGAGCCAGGTTCAGGACGCTTCCCTCACTGCTGAGAGAACCAGGTTCAGGATGCTGTCCTCACTGCTGAGAGAACCAGGTTCAGGACGCTTCCCTCACTGCTGAGAGAGCCAGGTTCAGGACGCTTCCCTCACTGCTGAGAGAGCCAGGTTCAGGATGCTGTCCTCACCGCTGAGGGAAGGTTCAGGTACTTAGGGAACCTGAGCCAGGTTCAAGTTCTGATTCCTGGTAGTTCAGCATGGGTCTTGGATGCCTAGCAGAGAAGGGAATTTGCTTACAGTCGATCTCTGGTGATTTGGGGTGGGCAGTGTATTCCTGACTCCTTGTCTTGTGGCGACTTATGCCTTCCCTTGCCAAGTTTTTCCAGGTCAGGGGTTAGTGTGGGTTAGAGGGTTGCTGCCAGTCTCTCTACTGGGCTAGGTGATGATTGTTGCCCTGCAGGTCTCTCTTTATAATTCAATTTTGGAAAGCTTGTGATCTCTCCCCTCTCCCAAGTTTTATTTCACTTTTATTTTTGTGGCTTTTCTGGGTGTTCCTCGGCCTTGTCATTGGGCTTTGTTCCCTTTCTCCACTGATGTCACTTGCTGGGTTGATGGGTGATCTACCTTAATTTTTGTTTTCATGGTTTTAGGTGTGTTGCTCTTTTGCTGTTCAGGTATGCCATTGTGCTTTATTAGGCTTGGGTGCCCTAGAGTTGCCCCATTTTTTGTTCATCTTGAGATGATTTCGGGGCTTTAGTGTCCCCGTGGCCCGGTCCTCGACCAGGCCTCCACCCCCAGGAAGCAGCCCGTGACAGCTGACTAACACCCAGGTACCTATTTTACTGCTAGGTAACAGGGGCATAGGGTGAGAGAAACTCTGCCCATTGTTTCTCGCCGGCGCCCAGGATCGAACTCGGGACCACAGGATCACAAGTCCAGCGTGCTGTCCGCTCCGGCCGACCGGCTCCGACCATGTTTGGCATGGTAGCGGAATGCTGTTTGTTATTAGCTTTGTTAGCCTACGGCACTTTCCCTTCGTGTTTGGCTTTTGTTGGACCAGGTTCACCTCAGGTGGCGTGTCTGGCTGCCTCACCCATTCTCTGGAACTGTCAGATTTGGGTGTTCACAAGGTCCTGGGGGGTTTGCCCTATCTAGGGGCAGGAATAGTTGAGCTAGCTGGTCCCTGCCCAAACTCTGCCTCTGCTTTGTCTTCTTACTCCTTGAGGCTGTTGATAATTATTCAGGACAGTGTCTTGGTTATCATTGCTGCCTCTCTCCTGTAGGTCTAACCTTATTTAATTATTGATATGATAATGCATCCAAACAAATTAATAATTATAGTATATATCTAAATTTGATAATTTGTGGTTATTGTATTTTGCCTTTAAACATTGATTTTATAATAAACATCATAATATCCAATCTCAGGACATTAAAAGTGGCTGTTCAACAGCAAATGTGGACTGGCCATACTTTCAAATACTTGACCAAATAGTTCCTCTCATACGAAAAGAGAAGATTGAAAAAGTACAAATATCAAGTCTAGACGAACAAGACCTCGATGCACCTCAAGAAAGTCTTCCCAGTCCTCTAACAAGCACTATTGTTCCTGAACAAGATCCTCTGTCAGTGGCCTCCAATCCTTTATCAGTGGCGTCTGTTAATGCGGTCATGGTGTCCGCCCAGTCATCCACATCGGTAGATGGCAAATGCAAAACTGAGGCTGTTGATGGTGAGCCACCTCGCAAGAGGGGAAGGTATGTAACTTGTGTTCACACCTCTTTAACCACTGTGCTGCGCCAACCGAGAAATCTCGTTTAGAGTTGTACTATTTTTTTTTAATTAGGCAATATTTTAATGTTTTTTTTAATGTTTTCATTACTCTTTGTGTTTTGAAATGAAAATGGTTGAGTTTGGAAACATTTTGACATTAACTTTACCTGAATATTTATAAAACAACAAAAATATGTCCTTAACAATTGCACTATGAAGTTTTTGTCAAAAACAGGGGCGCAGTGCAGGGGTTAATTACCTTTATCTGAATTTTGGTATTGTAGAGGAGGTGGTGAAGGTTTGGACGACCTTCATCCTGGCCCACAGGTGGTACAGTCAGGTTCGTTCTTGACTCATAATCGGGAACTTTGGGTTCGAATCCCAGGCGGGGCAGAAATGGTTAGGTACGTTTCCCACCACCTAATGCCCATGTTCACCTACCAGTAAATAGGTGCCCATGAATAGGTCAGCTTGTTGTGGAGTTGCAATCCTGGGGAGGGACAGTAGTTCAACTTTGGGAGGGGGGGGGCCTCAACATAAGACTAGCATGTATATACACACTGGCTGCCTGTCTCCCCAACACAATGAATTATTATTATGAATTATATGTACAGAATCAAGTATGTACGCAGACTTGTTTGATTTCCCAATTCCGTTTTCCAAAAGCCCTTAATTGTGTTATCCATGGATGTGCCACAAGCCTATACCCAATGAAAAGTGAGGGGCCCACTTCATTTACTTTAATATGTGCAACAACAGTAACTGCAGGTGTTATCTGGAGACTTTGTCATTCTCAATATAGTACATGTATATTAATTAAACATTATAATACATTATTGCATGCAATATTATCTGTAGTGCAGAGGTCTACGTCCTTGGCTCAGAACCATGGATTGCAGGTTTAATCCCGGGGGTGGGGAGGGGGGGGGGGGCATTTAGAGACATTTGGGAATATTTGCTTTCACCTAATGCCTCTGTTTGCCTAGCAATAAATAGGTACCTGGGAGTCAGGCAAATGTTATGATGTTGCATCCGAGGAAAGGTCTGTAGTTCCTTTGGATGAACCCTGATACAAGCCTATTGTATATATATATATATATATATATGCAGGCATCCTGTCCTCTGACAATGGGAATTATGTGATAGAAAGTTTAGGATACACCAAGTCAAAATACAGTTTGTTATAACATAGTTTAAGAATGCTTTTTGAATATCACAGATGCATGACTTTCAACATTCTGTCTGCAAGTATAAAAAATAATTCTGGAACAAGGTTAGATATATTCAAGGAGGAACCCAACTATTTTAACAGAATGCAATGGATCACCCAGGTTGTGATGACTATTTGAGCCTGTAGGCTATCTTGAGGTTATCTTGAGATGATTTCGAGGCTTTTTTAGTGTCCGCGCGGCCCGGTCCTCGACCAGGCCTCCACTCCCAGGAAGCAGCCCGTGACAGCTGACTAACACCCCAGGTACCTATTTTGCTGCTAGGTAATAGGGGCATAGGGTGAAAGAAACTGCCCATTGTTTCTCGCCGGCTACTTGTAGCAATAGCCTGGATGATCAGGTGAGTACCAGGGAAGCCTGACATGAGGCCAGGCTAGGCACATGTCAAAATTGGTTTAGGTAGAGAAACTCTTGTATGTTTTAGGCAAGTGTTCTATAAATCTTGAAATATGCATACCATCTTAAGAAGATTGATCCATGGTGCACACACCATTTTAAGATGTTTTAGGTGCAGATGAGGAGTCACAATAACGTGGCTGAAAAATTGTGAATTGTGACCATTATCAAGTCACAATCAACTTTATATGGGTCCAAGTCGGACAGAAACTTCGTCGTGTTTTCACTTTCTAGTGTGTGGTTTGATCAACAGATGTTTTAGGTACTTTGCAACATTTGAAATTCCCGCTGGTACACAGTACTCCCATCCTGTAATTGAGGACTACAGTAAACATCTGCTAACTTGAAAAGTGACATGATTTTTTTTTTAATTTTCCTGTGCTCAGAAAGTCAAATAACATTTTTGTGTACATAGAGATGCTTGATGCATCCTATTCACATTTCAAGTATTAATGTTTAACTCTCTTTTATGTACCAGAGGTCGTCGTACAGCTCAGCGTGCAAGAGACAGGTGGTGGGGTGCGGTAGAAGATGTGGATATTGGTTCAGATTCAACAGGGTTAACCATACGAGATCAAGGAACTCACCAGAGCTCATCCAAATCCTCCACAGCTGATAAGCTAGATCCTTCTCAAATGGAAATCCAAACTTTTCACATGCTAGAGTCTTGTTCTTCAGCACTAACAGAAATCCGTGAGATACTTAGATTAAATACTGAACGACAGGAAACGTTAATACAGGTTAGTTTTCTTTGTTCTGAGAATATACACAATTGTGTATAAATAATAATGAACTTATAAAGCTTAATATACAAGTGATTATAAGTAAATAAATAAAAACAAATGAAGAAAATAGTTTGTTGAGTGTGAACCTATAAAACCCGGACTACAGTATTTTGTTCTGCTCCTCGGCCAGCATTGTAAATAATCTAGATTCCCAGATAAATCAAATCTATGTTTTTAAAAATATATATTTACCAAAATTTATATGAGGGCTACATTCTCTGGTGGTCTCAAGGGAGACAGGAAGCCAGCAGCTTGTCAAAGGTTTCCCTGTTATTCCTGAAGATTTTTCCTGCAGAATTTTAAACTGAAATAATCTCAGTATTTACAGCTTCATATTTTTTGTATGTCCTGTATTTGGTCTAGCTGGAAGTCTGAATTATTCATAAAACCGCATCAGGACGGGCAGGGAATTATCATTGGAAAGCACCAAGCCATTACGACTATACAGCACTTGGAAAGGGGCCTGGATAAGGATTTGGGATGGGATGGGGGGAGGGGGAGAAATGGTGCCCAACCACTTGAACAGTCGGGGATTGAACGCCGACCTGCATGAAGCAAGAATGTCACTCTACAGTTCAGCTCAAGTTGTTGGACAGCCGGATCAGGAGCAGAATATTATAGTCCAGTTTTAGAGGTTTATACTGCTATTTTCTCAATTTGTTTTTATATGGTGTGTCTAATAGTCAGAACCACACTACTAGGTCTAGTAGGCAATGGCTGTTTAAACCATTAACGAGATATATCATTTAGCATGCTGTATATGCATGTATGTCACTAAATGATATGTCTCAGTGATGCTCTCACCATCTTTGGAGGCTGATGGGAGGTGGATACAAATCAGCGCTAAGTAACATTATAAACTGTATGTGGGATAACATGAGGTGTTACCCAGTTGATGTAAGCTGGAGCAGTAGGTGTGGAGTGAGTTAGGAGTCTTGTCTGAGGATGATAGGATGTACCCAAGTGTAATTTAGCTGTTGATACGATGAGTGTGTTTGATACAGTGCCTTGGTTATGTAATCTATTGTCATTGTCTGTTGACAGATGGAATAACAAGAGAACATTAAACATAGCTGATGCATTAGTAACCTACAGAACCTAATGGTGGAGTGGTAACATACTCATGCCGTACCTTGCAAGAGATTTGGTCTGGGGTTCGAGTCCTGGCAAGGGAGGTTTTACTGGTCAACAATACTTAACTATTCCCCCAGCAGTAATTGGGTGACTAGTTGTTAACCGATTGGCAGGTTGTATTGCTGGGAAAACTAGCGGGTAAGGCTTACCATGAGCTATGGGAAGGGAAAGCTCTCAGCCAGCTAACAGGAGTCAGCAGTCGTCTGCTCCTGTACCCACCTGTGTGTAAAACTAGCGGGTAAGGCTTACCATGAGCTATGGGAAGGGAAAGCTCTCAGCCAGCTAACAGGAGTCAGCAGTCGTCTGCTCCTGTACCCTCCTGTGTGTAAAACTAGTAGGGTAAAGCTTACCGTGAGCTATGGGAAGGGAAAGCTCTGAGCCTGATAAAAGTAATTATTAGTCATCTGTTCCAGTACAAGCCTGTGGAAATAACAAGTCCCAGGTTCAATTCCTGTGGCAGGACAGAGATTATGGGGCCCATGTCATTACACCTGATGCCTCTATTTACATGGCAGTAAATAGGTAATATGGAGCTAGACAATTGGTGTGGACTACATTCTAGGGAAGGTCTGTAATTGGCCTAAGGGGATTTTAATAAACCCAAGTACAGGCATCCTGTCTCCAACAATGGGACACCAAATCAAACATCCAACCATTAACAGCCGGTTAATACTTTGAGTTTCCTGTTAAAAAGATGTTACCAAAAAGCTTAACAATACAGTATTATTTCTCTTGATGAAAATATCTTAGTATATTCTTTCAAATTACTTGTAATTAATTTTGTTATTGTCTTATCAATACACAAAAAGCAGGTAACTGAACTGTATTCCCAATATAGTATTTTGAGTACTGCTGACACGAAGAATAAAATATAACAAAATATATAGAAGTGACTAATTTCTTTTAATAAATATTAAAATGTTTTGGAAGAACCGAGATTTCTTGCCTAACACAGGAATAGCATACGTATTACCATAATTTCTATTGAACATAAATGTATTTTGTACTCTAGAGCTGCAATTGCTTTTCCAAACCTACAGAGCCTTCAGCAGACAGTGGTGAGCCAAGGCAACACTGTGAAGGAGCTGCTCTCTACCATGACTACTCAGAACGCAACTCTGATTGCTCTCATGACGCAGTTCACCACTAGAAATTCTCGGTCAACTTTAGGTCAGTACTGTGTTGATTAAAACAATAAAATGTGTTAAATAGAAAAGAGATACCACCTGTAGTTAAATTATTGAGTACCCATAGACCAACCCATCCTCCGAATTGACAGTACGATTTAATACTAAGTGTAATAAGTACACTTTCTAACTGTCATAACCAGTGCATAATTGCACTTACGGGGCTGTTACATTTACCCAACTCCCTCCCCCGATTTAATTCCCCTCGTTTTCTGTTAAGACACACAGAATTTTAGGATGAAATTTTCAATTTCAACTTGCAATACACAAGTTTTAAATATCAAGAATTTTTTTTCTGGTTTATTAAACAATATAGATTTTATACAAAATTTTAAAATATCCTGAGTTATTTTACAATTTATTGATATATTTTAGTTTTGTTTTATTAGTTTTATAAAGCTGTAATATCAATATAGCTATAGGTTAAGTACTAATTGTAATTAAGAAGCAATAAAATTATTATCTTCAAAAACTAAGACGGTTAGGTGAGGTTGTGGTTTTCTATTCAGTTTTTTGGGTAAACTCAAATATTCGCAATATATTTGACAGTACGATTTAATACTAAGTGAAAATACGTACAATTCCTAACTGCTATGAATAGTACATAATTGCACTTATTTGTCTCCTTACATTTACCACCCCATTTTTGGAGGACGGGCTGCATAGACTCAGAGAAGGGAAGGGGGAACTATCAGGAGAGAGTGCCAAGCCATTATGACTATATAGCACTTGGAAGAGGTCAGGATATGGATTTGGTATAGAATGGGAAAAAGGAAGGGTACCCAACCTCTTGGATGGTCAGGGATTGAACGCCAACCTGCATGAAGCGAAACCGACACCCTGCTGTCCTGACCAAGTGGTTGAGCAAAAAGAAGTGAACAAATATAGACGTGCCCAAGTGTTATCCACACACCGAGCATTCAAACTAATGTGGGGTTCATATCTTGTACATTCATGGTATATTTTTTTATCTCACACATAATGGTGGAGAAATTTATGGTGTGGTTTCCCTAGGAAGGTGAGCAAAGATTTGTATTAAGTTATTCAGCCAGGTCACCGAGTGGTTATGAATCATTCTGTCAACACTTTCCCCTTGGCCATCTGGAGGCTTTCCTAGAGCATATAATCAATTTTTGTCAAGGACAGGAAGCCTGTGTATATACATACAAATGTATTTGGCTTGTATTGAGGCCCCCCTTCCCTCCCCAGACCTGGATAAATGCTGGTTTATATTGGTTTATAAAATAAACAAATTTCTAAGTATAATAAATGTGGGATTACTGGATTGTTTCAAGAAAAAGGTTAGACATGAATGAGTTTGGGTTGATATAAATAGGAACTGATTCACATGGGCCAGTTATGGCCTTCTGCTGTTTCCTTTATTCTAATGTTTTTTTTGTTTTGTTTTATATATCTGTTCTCAGGAATGACAACAAATGGTGATTTTGACGATGCAAAACACACAAGAGATCAGAGGACTCACAACCACCAAGAACATCTCCTGACCTCTCAGCAAAACTTAATCAATGCGTTATCTCGGGAGACTCAAGATTGTGAAAATTCACTTGTGGAAACATCAGAATTAGCAGATGACATGACCGGGTTATAGGTAGGCTATGGTAAAAAAAAATACCATAAATAAAAAAATAACACCAGATATTGAATTTTTGTGTAATATCATAAGTACGATTTTATACAGTCACAATTTTGCATGTTGTCTTTCCTCAAATGTTGTAGTAATGGATCATCTTTTTAAACTCGGTAGTCCAAGATTCAATGTCAAATCAGTTAAAGGAGAATTCTAAATAGTGATTTTGTTGTAAATACAGCATTTGCCTTTTTTTTTTCTTAATAATAATGCTTACAGATTTGTGAATTGAGCATGACAAGCTATAAGAATACTTTGGAGAAGTTTTGAGCAACCCTTAAGCTGCACAGGATACTTACAAGAGCAATATAATTAGTTATCTTGAGATGATTTCGGGGCTTTAGCGTCCCCGCGGCCCAGTCCTCGACCAGGCCTCCACCCCCAGGAAGCAGCCTGTGACAGCTGACTATCACCCAGGTACCTATTTTACTGCTAGGTAACAGGGGCATAGGGTGGAAGAAACTCTACCCATTGTTTCTCACCGGCGCCTGGGATCGAACCCAGGACCACAGGATCACAAGTCCAGCGTGCTGTCCGCTCGGCCGACCGGCTCCCGGTCTGCCCTGCCCGGTCTGCCCTGCCCGGTCTGCCCTGTCAGCATATTGTCCTGTTTAGATAATATTTATGGTAACAATTTGGACCATCTTACATATATTGATGTAATGGACAGTTACAAAGCAGAATTTGGACAAACTGGAAAAGGTTTTGTAGTAATTTTTAAGATGGTATACCATTAACTCACAAAGATACAAGCAGAAGAAGAATGAATGTTTGGCTGAAAAAGCAGGTAAACAAAGGGAATATCATTTTAGATCAAGAGAGCAGTAACTCTACCAGCAAAAGCAGTAGAGTTAGGTTACCAGCAAAAGCAGTAGAGTTAGGTTACCAGCAAAAGCAGTAGAGTTAGGTTACCAGCAAAAGCAGTAGAGTTAGGTTACCAGCAAAAGCAGTAGAGTTAGGTTACCAGCAAAAGCAGTAGAGTTAGGTTACCAGCAAAAACAGTAGAGTTAGGTTACCAGCAAAAGCAGTAGAGTTAGGTTACCAGCAAAAGCAATAGAGTTAGGTTACCAGCAAAAGCAGTAGAGTTAGGTTACCAGCAAAAGCAGTAGAGTTAGGTTACCAGCAAAAGCAGTAGAGTTAGGTTACCAGCAAAAACAGTAGAGTTAGGTTACCAGCAAAAGCAGTAGAGTTAGGTTACCAGCAAAAGCAGTAGAGTTAGGTTACCAGCAAAAGCAGTAGAGTTAGGTTACCAGCAAAAGCAGTAGAGTTAGGTTACCAGCAAAAGCAGTAGAGTTAGGTTACCAGCAAAAGCAGTAATTAGGTTACCAGCAAAAGCAGTAATTAGGTTACCAGCGAAAGCAGTAGAGTTAGGTTACCAGAAAAAGCAGTAGAGTTAGGTTACCAGCAAAAGCAGGAGAGGAGAGAGGAACAACCACAGAAGTGACCAGGATGAGAGCCAAGCATTGGTCTCCTGAAGACACACAAAGCGGTGAAAACTGAGAGATCAGAAGTTGGAGTTCCTGAAAATTGGTATAAAACCAAGTACTGTATATGCCACTCAAGAAAAGATATAGCAAAGAACAGGGATAACAGAAAAAGAGAGAGAAAACCAAGGCAAAGAAGGACACAGAATATGGAAGAGGAGCAGGTTCAGTGAAATCAGGGTGGGATGGCACAGCTAAAGCCATCAAAGATGGTCAAGATAAATGCAACACATTGTGAAAGAAATGAACAGGTAGGCTGCAATGGCATTTCATTCTGAGGATTTACCTCCACAATCACACATAATTAGGTGAAAAGGGGCTAATGTGGCAGAAATGTATACATGCCCCTTTTTTTTTTTATATACAGAGTATATATAACACTGCTGGGCTGACCCCTGGCAGCCAGCCATGAAGTCCACAGGCTCTAAATATATTTTGTGTTTATATAAATATTTATTTTACTAATGCTGTATATGTGAAATTATTATTATTATATCTCTTATGGTCACTGGCAACTTTCTGACATCCAAGACTCAAACATGGATGGGATGAGTCTGTCAACGACTAACGGGCCATTAGACAGATCAGATCTGTTCTACAGGTCCGTGCTTAGTTTACTAGCAGATACTGTATATATACTCTACATCATGTTTTATAACACATTTAAGATGCCTTTCTTTTCTATATGCATTAAACATTGACTGAAAGTGGCACACGCAAGAAAGTTTAGATATGTGCAGCAAATGTCAAAGGGTCATGCTGATTTCAGCAGGCTACTGTGTGACACTGCCCAAATGGGTGACAGGAAATCAGTGATGCTGCTAACCAAACTCTTCTCCTGGGCATGGTAGGTGCATCTTGAGACATTGGTGATCTTGCTGTATTAGAAAATTTACCTATATGACACATTCTCCGAATATTATGATGAGAAAGGGTTTTCTGTCTTTGTAATTTGTCATTACAGGTATGTCATATAAACCATATAAACTTAGTAACTAGTCTTAATAAATGTATTTGTACAGTGTTTAAATCAAATACAAATAAGTACAGGGGAATTTCTATGTTTTCTGTAATTTTCATCCCCATTGTTTGATGTGCAATTTCCCTCAAGCTAACCTGCCTTTGAGGACGTAGTTCAACCTATAATTATGTGAAGTTTGAAGAAAATCGAGCAATATCTTCCTCATCCACAGGTGGCACATAGATTGATTTACTTACACGCAATAGTACATCTTTAAAAAGGTTGGGTTTGTTATTTGTAATCAAATTTAAACAAATTTTTCATATATATTCTTTGTATATTGTTATAATCTGGAAAGAGCAAATTTTAAACTACAAGTTATATTTAGGGTTTAATTTTGAAAAGTGCTGTTTGGAAGCAAAATGATGGGTCTCATTCAGCAACTACACATTTTTACATAATATCCTCTTCTATGTTGCTTTAGACTATTTTACTAGCTAACTATAATGGTGTTAATATTGGTTAGAGATTTTATAATCTTGAATTTTTTTTTGTACAGTACTTTGTAATCCAAAAAACAAAGAATAAAAAATCAATGCTGAAACTTGGACTGGAGGTTCATCTTATAGATTAGATTTTGTAAATAAAGTTTGATAAAAAAAATTGAAGTTTTTGAAAAGTTATACCCAGAAGATTGAATATGTTTATATAATTACCTAAGTGTAGTTCCAGAATAAAATGTAGTTATACTGGTTAGTATTCCCCACCATCCTTATCCCACCTATTTATTCCGCCTCTTCCCTTTACCCTAGATCCCGGCCTCAGTGACAGCTGGGACGAACAGTCCTCACTTAATCAAACACTTGTATCGAATACTATTTGTTCAAACCATCCCGAAATTAGTGAGGATGCACGGTGTAAAATTAATAATAAACTGTATATATATACATTAAGAAATGGGGTACACCATTTAGTACATATATGTACAACAAATGGTACATCACCTGCTGTATGCCAACATCGCAGGTCAAACACAGTACTTGGAAGATGGTTAGGTATAATGCTGAATAGTTCCTGTTGATGGGGACAGGAAGCCTTTTCTTGAGCTTACTGAGGTCCCCCAAGACCACCTGTTTATCTTCTCCAGGATGCAATAAAGAACAGTTGTCTAACTCCCAGGTATTTCTATTTTATTGCTGTGAACAGCAGCATCAGGTGAACGTACATGTGCCCAACTGTTTCTATCTTGCTCAGGTACTGAAACCTAGTCCCTCAGTTGTTAGCAGAGAATACAGATGCCTGTGCTACAGGATCCGTCATTCATACACCCACTTTCAATTGTTACACGTCATACATTTCATCATTTGTTTTAAAGAAAAATGAGAGCTATTTTGAAAACATTTAGTTTCACTGCCAGTAGATATCAAATTCACTCTTGCCATCTATGCTCTGTGATAAAATAGCTTAGTTTTTATGCTGTCACCTTCATTTTTAAATAGAAAGGCATTGAAAAATTTTGTAATGCAATCTACCCAAGCTTTGATAAGCTTCATGTATCAATAACATTGCCCTGGCAATATTTATCCTTGTACCTGTACTGTCTAACAATTTTCTTATACGCAACTGAAGACTTGCACAAAAGTAATATTGGGAATGGGAAATAACCAATTTCTTTGAGTTCTGTAATCCTTTTCACTACCCTCTCCTCAGAAATATGCAGCACCTGTATGCACGACCTGGAAAGAAAGACGGAATTTGTAAAATTTACTTCCAAATCGTCAAAATGTTACATACATATATTTTAACATTATGAACCTGTCAATATTAAGAAAAGCAACAAACTTTTGTCCCAAATGTCCAACAAAAGTGGCAACTGGTCTGAATCATGCATATTGTTATGAAGATGCTGTCCAGATCATCAACCTTCAAGTTGTCTAGTAGAGTGATAAACAGAGCTTCAAACTGTTCTCTCAGGATTTCACTAATTTATTTGTCATTCTCTGTGTATGAACCTCCTCTTGCAAGTTTAAGTCTAATAATCAATGGACATTTTACATTTGATTTTGCATATGTGAAAAAGAATTTAAACAAATTTCATATCTCATATACAGTTTCCTGTTTCATTTGCATTGCTTCTGTCTGGTATGAGAGTTTTAACTTCTGCTCTATTTCTTCAATCACCTTGGGCTGCCAGGCTGACCTTCCATTTTCTCTCCTTGGGCTGCCAGGCTGTCCTTCCATTTTCTCTCCTTGGGCTGCCAGGCTGACCTTCCATTTTCTCTCCTTGGGCTGCCAGGCTGTCCTTCCATTTTCTCTCCTTGGGCTGCCAGGCTGACCTTCCATTTTCTCTCCTTGGGCTGTCAGGCTGACCTTCCATTTTCTCTCCTTGGGCTGTCAGGCTGACCTTCCATTTTCTCTCCTTGGGCTGCCAGGCTGTCCTTCCATTTTCTCACCTTGGGCTGCCAGGCTGTCCTTCCATTTTCTCTCCTTGGGCTGCCAGGCTGTCCTTCCATTTTCTCTCCTTGGGCTGCCAGGCTGTCCTTCCATTTTCTCACCTTGGGCTGCCAGGCTGTCCTTCCATTTTCTCTCCTTGGGCTGCCAGGCTGTCCTTCCATTTTCTCACCTTGGGCTGCCACGCTGTCCTTCCATTTTCTCTCCTTGGGCTGTCAGGCTGACCTTCCATTTTCTCTCCTTGGGCTGCCAGGCTGTCCTTCCATTTTCTCTCCTTGGGCTGCCAGGCTGTCCTTCCATTTTCTCTCCTTGGGCTGCCAGGCTGACCTTCCATTTTCTCTCCTTGGGCTGTCAGGCTGACCTCCCATTTTCTCTCCTTGGGCTGCCAGGCTGTCCTTCCATTTTCTCTCCATGGGCTGCCAGGCTGACCTTCCATTTTCTCTTCTCGGTCAGCCTTGTTACAGTTATGCCTTCAGCTGATACGAGACTCGTCCTGGCTTTTCTATCTGTACCTTATTCATTCGTTTTCAAATTCTTCATATACACTATTGTACCTGTATGGCTACCTCTGTTTCCTTTGGCCAGTATGGATGCACGCCATAAATACTGGTGGGCAATGGAATCACTACATCCTAATTCCCAATTTTTGTTTATAAAATATAAACCTGAAATTTTGTCTATTTCATAATGTGTCAGACCACACTGAGATTAGGAATAGATCTGAAACATTGTTAAAATATTTCATATTGCATTTCATCCATTGCTGGATGGAAGTCTCTTCAGGCTTCAACAATCACCTATCGTGAACTATTACAATGAGGATCAAACGAAGGTAAACAATTCCCTGTGGTGAAGTGGTAACACCCGCCTGGCATTTTGCGAGAGCTTTGGCCTGGGTTCGTATCCTAAGCCAAGGAGGATTTACTGGGCACCAATCCTTAAGCCCCTGCCGTGAATTGGTACCCGGTTGTTAAACGATTTGGTACTTGCCCGAAATGCTGTGTGCGTTAGTGGCTGTACAAGAATGTAAGAACTCTTGTAC